AGCCTATGCACGTTCACTTAGTTCTAAATTCTGCTGTTTTCAAAGGGATTTAGCCCCCTTTATGTGTGCATTAGGATTCCATCCTTTAATATTGTTTGCCTTCAGTAAAATTCATTTTCTAGTTTCAAATGTTTAAACTACATGAAAAAGCCATCCCATATTTTTTAAAGAATGATTTCTCTGGCCTACAAAAAGTATTAATCAGCTAGCAGTTTGGTTAAACTACTAGAAACCCCTGAGAGAAATATATGAAGACACATAGATAATCATCACTTTTGTCAGTCTTCTGCTGCTTATGTTACAAGTGCTTTGTATCAACCCAGAGATGCCATTTTAACAGACATATAGATAACGAGATGAAGGACCAGAATATTAATTTTCATTCAACAGCCAACAAAATATACTGCTTTAAAAATGCAATGGGGGTGGGTGAGAGACAAGAATGACAGGAAATCTCTGGGGCATATGATTGTTTCTACAGTCTTATGATGTTAATTACAGCTCTTATCTTTAAAAGTTTTTTCCTTGTGTATGTTCTTTGCTCATGGTTAAGTGTGATACGAAAGACGCAATACAGCAAAAGAAACTGCTGGCAAACTAACAGCCCTGAACATACATATTATCTTGAATACATGTCAAAACTGATAGTGGTTTTCAGGACTAGACAACATCCAGTTTGAAGAGGCCAAGGTGCACCCTCTAGAAGAAGAAGAAGAGGAAGAAAGAATTGGAGGGATGATACAGTGCTGTGCCAGACAGCCATAGTAGAGAAAGTGTTGCAGATTGCCTGTATAGTGTTGCAAACACACTCTTCCTTGTTTTATACCTACAGTTATAGGTTCAGCAGACATGAATTTAGGAATAAAGTCTTCTCCAATCTGTCAGATTGCTCAGTACAACTGATCTCTTGGCTGTAAAGCTGTGGAATGCTACCTACACAAATCATTTAGAACATATTTTTTACTCCAACACATGCTTTGTCTCTCTCTTCCCCCCATTATCCCTAATAAAGCTATTTCCTGTAGTAGTTTGTGCTACAAAAAAACTACAAGCAATGTCCCCCGACTTTCTTGATGTTTATGGGATTGTCACCTTTTCACCTCACAGTGCTCCTCCTTTGTATAACAAACTGCAATCCTATTCCTACTTAATTGGGGTCATGCCCCAATGAACTCAATGGGGCTTCCTTCTGAGCAGACATGCATAGGACTGTGTTGTACAAGGATTAAGATTTTTAACTTTTCATTTCACCAATAGTTCATTTTCATTTTTTCAGGGGAAACCACCTGCTACATTTCCGTGGGTCAGGCAGAAAAGAAACCCTAGGAAATGGCATTCACAGCTAATCCAACATTTCTTCCCACTCCCCATTCCTCTACAGTCCCAAGTATGCCCCACCAAGTGTATTTTGCCACTTCCTTTTCCCCTTCTAGGTATCATCCCATCCCTAGTACTGTCCAGCTCATGCAATTGGCACTCAATGAAAGCAAGAGCATGGAAACTGCATCATAGGCTTCCACATCAATATAGGTCATTCTGCTGGTTATTTGCCCTGAAACAGGAAGTTCCTGTACACTTAGGCACTATCCCAAGTATGCTAGAGGGAATGGGAATATTCCTAGCACACATATTCTTCTTGGCCAAGATTGGGCTACGTAAGCAAACAAGAAGAGAAACCCGGGAGCTGAGCTGGATAGTGTTTGGAAGTGAACTGCTGCAATGTAGGCTGAGGGCGTAGCCACACTTCCTCTTATCTTGCCGCTTTCCCCTGGGGAAAACTGCTCTTTACCTCTCATTCGGAGCAAACAGCATTTTGGGGTTTCTCCGGATTGACATTTTGCTCTGATTTAGAATTAAAGAGCGGATTTTCCCTGGGAAAGGAGTGGGACCAATGAAAAGCCTCTCGGACCAATGCTTTCTAGGCATGGGACAAGTGCAAGTATGGACTAGCCCGTAATGTACTAAGGCTAGGCAGATGACTATGAATAAGGTTAAAAATGGGAGCAGGTAGGTAGAAGGCTGTCCTAGCAGAATACAATGTCTGCATGTGTGTGTTTTTGTAATTTGGGAGAAACAGAACTTGGAAACAGGCAGGCTTAACAATAGGAATGGCAAGGTATGCACATACCAAAATGGCAGTATCTGCAACCAAACACCATCTATTGTTAGGATGCTGTCAGCTGGTCCTGAGAAAGGTTCCAACATTTATTTATTTTTGTAAATGTACCCCTCATTCCTATATATGTCTACTTGGAAGTAAGTTCCAGGTGAGAGCATGCATACAATTTCAGCCTTATGCCAATCTATAGTAAATAAAGATGCATGCAAGCCTGAGAATCTGCCTTTCTAAAGACCAGTTTTTTCATAGATAGGCTTAAAATGCAGACCGGCTTAAATCACATTTTGAAAAATATGACACCCTCGCTTATGTACTGCATCTCTGACAGACAGCACAGGAATCAAAGTGCCCCACATGGAAGACAGTGGTAAAGAATTGAATCCAAAAAGGCGAAGCAGCAAGGGAATGCTGCATGAAGCCACTCTTTTTAAACTGAAGCAGATTCTAGAAATTCACCCCCTCACCCCGACTGCTTAGAATATGATGAGAATGGAAAATGAAACCCACATCAATTTCACTGTTGTTGTTTTCTAAAGACATCTGGAAGATGCCTGTGATTATTGTGCCTGGGTTGCTCCAGTACTAAGGGAAGCCTGCTGAACATTCTGCAACTGTCAAATACTATAAATATTCAACTCCAGACATTGCTAACTTGTATCTACATGCTGTGTGAGGATTTATTTTATTGAGCACTGGCAACAGGAAAGCAATAATTTGGACCAACTCGTATGATACAGTAGTTCAACCTCAACTCATCTGAAGAATGACAGTCCTTGCAAGCTGCTGAAGTTTGTGCAGCCCACTTCCAAGCATTGTTATTCAGAAAGAAATCCCACTGAATTCAATAGGACTTATGCCCTAGTGTTTAGGATTGCTGTCTTATAGCACAATCCCAAACATGTCTGCTCAGAAGTAAGCACCACTGAGCTGGATGGGACATACTTGCATGTAAGTGTGTATTGGATTGCAGTCTTAATTAGCTAAAGGGTGGGAGATGGGACTTTTATAGGAAATGAGACAGAAGTGGGAAGCCCATCAGCATAATACAAGGCTGTATAGAGAAGGACTACACAGCTTAAATAGGAAAAAAATGTCATCATACTAAATGGGGAGGGGGGTGTCATCATGTTGATAGAGATTGGTGCAAAGTAGCATGTTTTCAATATAAAAGGACTAGTAAATGAGGTAGCCAGTCTAAACTGCAGCTCCTGCTGTACATTAGCGGGGCTCAACAGAGAACCAGAAAGTGCTCATACTCCCCCTTGATTCGTCCCTTGATGTATTAGCTGGAATGTGCTATAAGGAAATCTATTGGCTTTGCAGAGCTAATTACACTATAGAACATGGCACAGCCTTGTAGTGGCCCCAAGTGTCTTCTTCTCTTCTCAGATATTTCTGTTAAATTAGGCCTTGGGGATTTAGGGGACAGTGGAATGATAGTGGAAATCAACGAGGAGTTATTTTTACCTGAACAAACAGGGTTTCAGCAATAGGAGATCTGGTGAGGCTCTGGAACTAGTTTAGTTTCAGGGATTTAGGATACACTTTGCAATAATGGGCTTTGTGTGCACATTAGCCTCTGTAATGTGTATGCACTAGCCTCTCTAAGTACAGTTAAGAGGAAGGGAAAATAATTAAAGGCCATGTTTTGACTATGCCGTTTTAGATTATTAAGGATAGGGAACCTGTGTCATTCCAGATGTTGTTGAACCCTTAACTTCCATCAGCCTCAGCCAGCATGGCTATTAGTCAGGGATGATGGGAGCTGCAAACCAACATCTGGAGGGCCAGAGGTTCCCCATCCTTGCCTTAAAAATTAAAGATGTGGGCAGGAAAATAAATGGCTGCCATCCAATGCACACTTACACCTGAGTAAACATGCAGAGCCTTGTGCTATGAAATAAGGCTTGTTCATGCATAATCTAATCCCCAAACCACATCATATGGTTTAATTCCCTTTCAGAGATGATCATCTAATGCTGTATGAAGTACACTGGAGTAAACTGTCACTCTTGAACCTTGTGGGGCATTTTGTCTTTGCCTGCCTAGCTAGGCTTGCATAGGATAGCCTGACTACTCTGTTGGAACAGTGGTTTTAATTAACATAATTATTTGCAGTGCTTTTTTAATGAAAAAAGCTGCCAGTACTCACCATGAAGTTGTTACAGTTAAATGCCACACTTTTAACATTTTGGAAAGAAAGGTGCAAGTACTGTGTGTCCTTGAGTACCCCCGGGGGGGGAAAGTACTGGTCAGTTGACATTTAGAGGGTAGACTGTATGAGTCTGAAGCAAAGATCCAACTCGGGATACTGGATTCAGGGGATTATAATCCCTGTGGGGGCAGATTTAGGAGTGTGAGCATCTCCTTTCTGTTTTGTAGTTAGAATTTGCACTCTGCATCAAGGTTGACGCATAACGTGTGCAGGCACATCATGGGCTCTCGTTTCCCCAGAAGCTAAACCCCTCAGAGATCAGTGAGTGAAGTGCTTTGGAAGAATCTGAGGCTTTAGGGCCGGGGGTGTTAAAACACGTAATCTGCACATTCCTTTGCGTGGATCTGGCGCAGTCAAACGCAGCCCCTCTCGTCCTCCTGTGAGGCGACGCAGAGAGGGCGGGAAAGGGACGCAGCGCAGTTGGCATCCCGATGACGTCAGGCGGGGCTATGGAATCGCCAGCGTAGGAAAAGGAAGCCGGAGACGTAGGAAAACACATGAAAACACAGGATGGGTGGGGGCAGTTTCATGCTGACAGCAGTGGGCGTGGAGGGGGGGCGAAGAGATGTAAACGACGTCCATTTGAGACGCCTCAACTGAACTCGCCATCCCACAGCCCCAAGCGAGCTGGGGAACGGAAGATGATCCCATACGACCCCATAGCGCATGCGCGACCTGACCAGAGAGCGGGAGTGCTGGGCGCATTCAGCAGCCGGAGGTGCGCCGGAGGAGAAGATAGGGCAAGGCCAGAGCGGCAATGTTATTCTTCCTGTTTTCTTCCCCGCCCTCGCTTTCGAACGGGTGCGTCATATCCGTTTCCCCGCAGTCCCCCCCTTTATTTTCTGGCGGGCTGTAGAGCACGGAAGAGTGAGAGGGATGGTGAGCGACGACTGCGAGGCCGAGTTCCCCGAGCAGTTCCGCTCCTACTCGGAAAACGACAAGCACTGGCAGGCGCGGCGTGCCTTCATCGTGCGCAATTATCCGCCGGGAGATGGGGAGGCGCTCTCTCCGCTCCGCGTGGACCAGCTGCTCTCGCTCTCTATGGTTTGGGCCAATCACATCTTCATGGGATGCAGGTACCGCCCCATCTCCCTCCCGCCTTCCAAAGGACTAGCGGCATGTGGCGGCAGAATCTAACTTCCGCTCCCTTTTTTTTTAACTTATTAAATTTATATACCGCCTTTAATCCAAAGACCACAGGGCGGTTTACAACATAAATCACAAAACACATTATATAATAATAGTTTAAAAAAGGAGACAATACCCACCCCACGTGCTTTCACAGGCACGCACACATGGTTCCCTTCCATATTTGCCCACCTGCGAGTTTTTTAACAGTTGCTGATGCTGAGAGTTGCAGCTAACATGTCTGTTTCTGTCCGTGGAAATCCCCTTGCTTCTGTGGCCATATTGTAGGGTTTCAGTATAAAAATATTATGTGACTCAGGTGTTGAAAGGCTCCAATGCAGCAGCAGCAGCAGCACCCTATACTTGTTTACAGTACTTAGAAGTTACAGCAAGCCTCGATCTTGCTGTGTTTAAAGGAGAGGGTAAAGATTGCAGCCGCAGTGGCAACAATATTTCCCCTGCTAAAACTGAGCAGATACATTTCACACTTCAGTACAGTGGTACCTCATGTTACATACGCTTCAGGTTACATACGCTTCAGGTTACAGACTCTGCTAACCCAGAAATAGTGCTTCAGGTTAAGAACTTTGCTTCAGGATGAGAACAGAAATCTGGCTCCGGCAGCGCAGCGGCAGCAGGAGGCCCCATTAGCTAAAGTGCTTCAGGTTAAGAACAGTTTCAGGTTAAGAACAGACCTCCAGAACGAATTAAGTACTTAACATGAGGTACCACTGTAATCTGTTCCAGGCATTGTTAGGAGAAACTTAATAAAATTTACTTCCTAACTGCTTGGCTTGGTGGGGGAATAATGAGAGGAATTCAGTGCAGTGCTAAACAAATTGCTCAGAGCAGTGCAAGCATTTCTGCTTTCCTGATGAAGCAGTGTGCCCTCTCTTGGTGGTTTTCCTGACACCCCCACCACCAGCAGCCAATTGGGGGTTGGGGTTGGAGTTGCAGGGAGGAAACTCAATTGTGCTAATGAAGGTCCCTTGCACACAGGTTTTCACTGGCAGGACTTGTTTGTTGAATCCGTTCCTACATATATAAGTGAAGCACACAAGGGAGGTTGGTCTTGCAGTGCAATTAAAATCCAAGAAGAAGACTGAGTTGGTCTAGATAGAAGAACCCAGTTTTCCTCACTCACCCTTTCAGCCTTTTCTACCTTTAATGTATGCTGCAGTTTCAGCTGCTAAAATTACAAGGCTAAACTTTTTAAAAATCACACTTGGATTGTGAGTATTGAGAACCGAGAGGAACAGCAAAATATTGGACAAATATTTCATTTACTCTTCTTTTTATTCAGCTACAACAAAGATCTCTTGGAGAAGGTAACTGAAATGGCTGAGGGAATTGAAGTTGAAGATGCACCACATTTCACAACCCGTGATGAGATAATGAAAAAGGTGAATATTCATGATTTGGGAACTCTTGGGGTGGGGAACCTGAAATGCTGAAGGGACCTACTTTTGAAAATACTGAAACTGGTTAGGATCAGAATAGGATCTCCTAATACACATAATTAATTCAATTGGAAAGAGAATGTTGTCATCCATTATTGAGTATTTTATTATAGCTCCCCAAAAGTAACCTAGTTCTCTCTTGATCTTAGTGTTCTAGTACTTTGGAAAAACTGCTTTCATGCAGCACATTACATTGCAAAGCCGCCATTGGATAGAACCCTTTGACTTTATTTACATTAACTTATGTAACCTGGTGCCATTATAAATTAAACATTTTCTGTCTTTATGGTTGCAGGGAAAAGTGTGAATACATGCATGCAGCTTTAGGGAAAGCTGAAAAAAAACTAGAGGTAGGTTAAAGACTACCAACATCCCTAGTTTCCCTTTGCCTAATAGTTCTTCGACTTCCTTTACCCAAATCCTAGTTGTCCTTATTTTCCAAAGCTCTATTCCACTAGATCAAATTTTAACTATTCACAAAATGTGCAATTTTGAGCAAATGTTGCACCTAATTGCATTTTGATAATTGCATGGCACTACTGCTTACTAAAATACTATGGAAAATTGTCCCTGTAGACAATACATAGTATTGTGCTAAGCATATGGTAGAGGAGGTGAAAGCCAGTTTGATCTGTTGTGACTTAAGTGTCAGGAAAAGAATCAAAACTATGTAATGTGACAGGTATGTGCTGATCAGACTGTCTGCTTGGTTGTATTAAAAAAGTCATTAAAATCTGTTTTAGTAACGCTAACATATGATAATGCAGTGTCCCAGGGCTCACTTACAATCATTTCAATATATAGTAGCCATAGGGGAAAGCCAGTGCTGACTTCAGCAACTCAGGTCATGGCAAGATTTATTATTTATATTATGCATAGTTGTGTGCACATGCCACTTAACACCCACAGCTGGCCTTACACAACTGTAATACAGTAGTAACTAGTGTTGATGTTGATGGCCTATGCAGGTTGGAGCTGATGTGTGTTGGAGTACCACAGCATCTGGTAGGCAGGCCAGCTGCCAAGGGCTGAAATGGTTGTATGAATTAGTCTGGACTTATTTACTTGTTAATGACTTATTTTAGAATCACTTACAAGTGAGTAAACTGGGAGTACGGCTTTCGTTCATCCTGCAGGAGATACATAATAAATTACAAACTTTGAGAATGATCATGCCGTGCTACAGGATTTCTTATTGCTGAGGTGCCTTATTTAATGCATGACTAAACTAAACATTTTAAATAATAATTTCATTATTTCAGATAGATGCCATTGTGATTGGCTTAACTACCCTCTACTGCACACTTTTCTTTTTCTTTTTCTTTTTCTTTTAGAATCAACACTAGTGTCCAAGAGAAGAGATGTCAAGCTTTCATTATGCCACACAATCGGCTTAACGTGGAAGACTGCAATCCTGACACTGCAAGAAGGATCACTTCCAAGATGCATTTTAAATAAGGCTATATTTACACTGGATACTGATTTTAATGGGGGTTTTTAATTAAAAAAATGTATATCTTGATTCAGATTTTAAAAGGTACTAAAGACTCTTATTCTTCCCGTTTTGATCACCCAGCACAGAAAAGCCCTTCCAGAAATTGGTATGGGGGCCTGGTTCAAAGGTCTTCCCCCAGGTTCAAGAGTCTTAACATGTAACATGTTTAGCAGATTGTCTTCTCTGTGTACTGGTTTGCTAAAGATGAGGAGAAGGACCAGCTGCTCTGAGCAGAGAAGCAAATACTGTATCTAGAGCAGCCAAAGTGCAAATATGCCTGTCTGTCTCTGCTTTGTGGTGGCAGGGAGAGTAGGCACTAGGATACAAGTGGTGCCTGCTCCATGCCCAGGTTCTTGACAAGATCAATATGCCTGCTCACTTACTGGAGACCAGCAGTTATGTGGTGGAGAGATGGCTAGATGGGGAAGTAGGTGTCACCAGAGGCTTAATTTGGCAGATGGCATCAGCAGTAGGAAGGTGGTGAAGGTTGGTGTCTTTTTGGTTATCTTGCCAAGGTGGCACAGGAGGATGGTCATAGGATCGTAAGAATACTGAGCACGAAACAGTGGCTTACTGTGTCCTAGGTGGTTTAGGCATTTTAAAGGATGTCATCAAGGGACTTGTCAATGTTTCTGTGACCCTTGGGGGGATAGAGTGTAGAGCAGAGCTTTCCAAACTTTTCATGTTGGTGACACACTTTTTAGATATGCATCATTTCGTGTCACAGTAATTCAGCTTTACTAGCAAACCAGAGGTCAAACTAACTCCTTTCCAGCCCTGCGAGGAGTGTGGGGAGCATTCGTGTGACACACCTACACGCTGCAGCCGACACACAAATCTGTCACGACATACAGATTGGAAAGCTCTGATGTAGAGCATTGTGACCTGCTATCTGGCTAACCTCATTAAGCAGGGCCTTTGACTTGCTGGGTACACAAGGTGCATATCTGACTAGATGTAGCTATAATGCTTAAGGGTTCTGTGATCAGGATGAGAAGGAGCAGGCTGCAATCACTCTCGCATCAAGGAACTACTTGCTTGTCATAAAAAAATGCACACACAACCAGGAAACAAAAATTACAATAATTCATGAACAATTAAAACACCCAACAGCAAACACCTGCTGGTTATTCGCAACAGTGAATCTCTTGAGTAAATGAATTGTATTGTCAGTTAACTGCTTTCATTTAAGTGACAGTTTCTGTCTTTGGTCTTTCAGAGTTCACTTTTCTCTGTGCTCTCTCTCTACTCTTCCTTCTTCTGTATCCTTCATTAGATCCCTTTTCCCATCTTCTTTATAACTTTGCTGCTTCCCCTTGTGTCTTCTCTCTGGCCTCTTACTTTGCTCTGCCCCAACTGTACTTCCTTCACTGAGACTCACTTCCACCACCACCATTCCATGCCCCTCCCAGATGCATTGCTTGTGTTCTAAAGTCATTAGGAGCTGACCTTACATTTGCCCTGCTCTAATGATACCTATCCTCATGTACCCCGCATGACTGTGTTTGTCCCTTTAAGCTAGTCAGAGCCACAACTTATCCCCTGTCGTGAACAAGAGATTCCACCACTCTCATGAACTCTAGAGGGAATGTCTCTTTGGGGCTTCTTGGAGTGCCAAAGACTCTTGTCTCAAAGTCAAAATCAGTGGAGCTAACCCCTTGTCCCCTATTTGTAGGCATCCCAAACCATTGCTTTGTGGGAATTTCACTTAAGGTCACCTTGACAGCATTACGATTCTCATAAGAACCTAATAATACCCCTGCTGAATCAGTAGCCCACCTAGTTCAGCATTCTGTTCTCACAGAGACCACTCAGATGCCCATGGGAAGTCAGGAAGCAGGACCTGAGTGCAAGCACACTCTCCTGTGGCTTCCAGAACCTGGTACAGTGGTGCCTCGCAAGACGAAATTAATCCGTTCTGCGAGAGTCTTCGTCTAGCGGTTTTTTCGTCTTGCGAAGCAACCCTATTAGCGGCTTAACGGATTAGCGCTATTAGCGGTTTAGCGGCTATTAAAGGCTTAAAGGCTTAGCGGATTAGCTGCTAAAAGGCTATTAAAGGCTATTAAAGGCTTAGCAGATTAGATAAAGGGGCGAAAAGCGAAAAAAATCTCAAGACTTGCAAGACATTTTCGTCTTGCGAAGCAAGCCCATAGGGAAATTCGTCCTGCGAAGCAACTCAAAAACGGAAAACCCTTTCGTCTAGCGGGTTTTCCGTCTTGCGAGGCATTCGTCTTGTGGGGCACCACTGTATTGAGAAGCATATTGCCTCCAACTGGGGAGGTACAAGATAGCAATCGGGGTCAGTAGCCTGAACTTCTCTTCCATAAATTTCTGATCCTCTTTTTTAAACGTCATAAAGCTGTTGACTATCACTGCCTCTCATGGGAGTGAATTCTTTAGTTCATGTGTTGTGTAAAGAAGTAGCTTTATTTGTCCTGAATCTTTTGATATTCAGCTTCATTGGATCTCCATGAGTTCTAGTTTTATGTGAGGGGAAAAAAGCTTTTATCCTCAATTTTCTCCATGTTATGCAACTGTTATGTTGCCATTTACTTGCCTCATCTCTAAACTAAAAAGCCCCAAATGCTGTGATCCTTTACTCATATGGGAGTTTATCCATTCCCTCAGTCATTTTGGTTCCCGTTTTCTAAACCTTTGCCAATTCTATGATACCCTTTTTGAAGTGAAGCAACCCAAACTGAGGCAGCCACTTGCAGTACCACACCTTTTTGCTTCGTCTCAGTACATTGCACCTGCTTGCTGGGGACTTTACCTTTGTTCTAGCATCCAGCTGCTCTTCCAGTTGTACTGTCCTTGCTTCCAGAACAGTGATGGAAGACTTGTATTTAAACTTTGGAGCATTCTTCATTTCCTGCAGCTTGGCCTTAAACTCCTTGTTCAGATGCTGAAGCTGCCGGTGAGCATTTTCATTCTTCATGGGCTTTACTATCCTCTATGTCTAGGTCTGCTTTTATCTGGTCAATCTGAAGATCTGCTTCCTTTAGATACAGCTCAGGATTGAATTGTTCTTCCTCCAGTTCTTCTTCAAGCAGAGCTATCCAAGCCTTCAGGCACTGCAATCTCATCCCTCTCTTGCTGTGCCTGACATTTAGCATGTTCAACAGCTGCAAGTTCCTCCTTCAAACCGAATAATCTCTGCTCCCATGAAAAGGAGTGTGCCAAATGTCAGACGCAGCAAGAGAGGGATGTCTTCTCGTCCTCAATGGCCTGTGTTAACATTTCATGTAAGTATCATTCATCTGTGCATTTAATCTTTCATTTGGGCCTGCAATTTGCAGTGTTGTTTGATGGCTGCCTCATGATTCTTGCTAGCAAAGTCCCTTTGGGCCTTCAGATCCATTATTACATCTGTTTCCAGCCTCCAGGCAGCCACAGCCATGGAGTGCTGCTCCCTTTCCTCTTCCCACTCCACTTCCATGTCTTGCACCTGTCTCATCAGCTGCTCCAGAGCTCTGTTTGACTTTTCCAACTAATGAACACTCTTGCCAGCATCATTTTTCTCCACTGGCAATGTGCCCTGCTTTACCACATCTTTGGCAGATAGGCCTGCCATCTTCATCAAGTTTATCCTGTAACCAACAGTCCCTTCTGCTGTGTCATGGCTCTGTTCTTCAGCCTTGTAAACGCTGTGCGTCAGACCTGCTTTCAACTTTTGCATCTCCCTCTGTATCTTTTCCAGCATCCTCTTCCTGCTTTCAGTTGCTTCAGCTCCTTCCATCTTGCCTCTTCCTCCTCTCCATCTGTGCACAATCAGCATGGCTGGACTTTTGTTGCAATGCACTGATACAGTCAAAAGCCCTGGCAAAATTCTCTACAAAAGCCTTGTTTTGTTTTCTGTAAAGCTGAGAAATCATTCTCCTAAAAATCCCAGAAGGATGTTTCCCCATTTGCCGAGAGAGCCATTTTAGTTTAATAATGCTATGCGGAACACAAACCCCTTCCAGAAATCTCTCGACCATTTGTTGTGCCTTGGGTCCTCACTTGCTTCCAGCTATTGAATTTCTCCTAAAGCCCCCAAAAGCCCTGGGGCCTATTCCCTCAAATGTTCAGTGGAACCCTGAATTGTTAAATAGAACCTTTCAAACACGCACACCAGACACTTAAAGATGTGTTCTGCCATCTCCTTTTGATTCGATGGCCAAACTAACACCACCCTTTTTTATACCCTGCTTCAGTTGGCAACTCATGAAACCAAAGCATGCATTGCAGAATAGCTTTAAATTCCCCAGACACTGTCTTGTTCCCTTGCATATTTTACCATTAAAAACCTAGGATAGTCTAAAGAAACAAAGGAAAGTTAATGGAGTTTGTTCCCTGGATCACTGAGCCTATACCCTTTCTGCCTTGTCACCAGTGTTCTCACCAGCAAGGCTCATTATGCCTCTGAGATTATTGTGCTCTTTTTTTTTTAGACTCCTCAATTCTGTTGATGACGCCAAATTTAATGCCTTGCATTTCTGTGATCAGGACCTGGCTGCAATCACTCTGAAGTTACAGAACATGCACACATTTCTTTCTCTCAAAATAAAATACTCAACACAGACAACCTACAATTAACGGGAATTTAAAACACCCCATTGCTCCACTTACTTGATAACAGCAAATTTATTGAATAAATGAATCAATAATGTTAGTTAACTAATGCTATTCAGGTGACAGTTCTTGTCTGTGGTCTTCCAGTTATCAGTTTGCTTTACTTTGAACTCTTTCGTCCCTCAACTTCCTTCTTTTTCTCCCTTTTGAGAAAGCTGAAGGTGAAGAAGTTAGTTTTATCATTCTGCACCCCTCCTCAGGTGCCAGTGTAGTGGTTAGTGCTGGACTAGGACCTGGGAAACCTGGGTTCAAATCCTCACTAAGTCATCAAGCTCACTGAGCGACCTTGGGTCACAGTCTCGCAGCCTATCCTTCCTCACAGGGTTGTTGTGAGGATACATTGGGGGGGGGGGAGAAACATTTTTGCCACCTTGAGCTCCTTGGAGCAAGGTGGGATAGAAGTATAAATACAGATGTACAGCTCATGTTCTGAATTCCTTAGGAGCAGGCATAGACATTGTAGCATTAGAGTTAGTATCCTGCCCACCAACCAAGCAGGTCTTCTTCAGGACCAGGAGCAGTTTTCCACACGTATTCAAAGTTGGCACTCTCTTTTGTAGTATTTTGTGAGGAACGTTTGGCTAGTTTTGCATAACAGGAAATGGTCGATCTGAGATGATATGAGGCCAGTGTTGTGTTTTAGGGTCAGATTCTCTCTTGCTAACCCTGTACATAATTCAGAGCTGCACATTTGGCAATCATTTTCCAGGAGCCAAATAAACAGACCATTTCCCACTAATGTTCTATACAAAGTAGTATAAAATATTTACTGAATACTTTTTCACAAAGCTAAGAGATGAAAGAAGAGAAATGCTAGTCAACTTTTTCATTAAAGCATTTTTCATGTCAAAATTTAACTCAAGAAAAAGAGAGAGGAATTTAATACCAGTGTCACGCCATCAGTTTTTAAAGTGTGTATCCAAAAATTTACAAAGCATCCCCATCTGTCTGTAAAAAGTTGTCATACATTTTCTTTACTTGCTTTCATCACTTTTGAGATGGAGACTCTATATTAGAGACGGTGAAGCATAGATCAAAAGAATCACATAAACATCCTAAGAATACACATATTGTAATGGGGAATGGAGCCAGGTTCTTTTTGTAGTTTGTCCTCATGTTACAAAATTCTTTTTGCCAGCTGATCCCCACAAGAATACAGGTTCACAGGCCTTTAAGCTGTTGTGTAAAGTGTTCTTTTTAAAACAAGCTTGTAGAAATATTTTGTTCTATACTGAACTGAATTTTGTGTGTGTTTTATAATAAAATTGTAGCATTTTTAACTGTGGTGTTGGCAACTGTGTTTTAATATGATAGCTGTCTTCAAACCTAAAAGGTTTGTTCTTGTGTTTCTGCCCTCCAGACCTTTCATGGAGGGGGCACCCAAAGAAGGACTCAGATGATGATCACAGAGTCTGGGGTGGAGAGGTGGTCCTGAACCATTTAAGGCTTTATAGCGCTTTGAAATAGCCCTGTAAACTACGTGGCAGCCAATGCAGTTGAACCAAGATTGGCATTGTATGCTCAAACCATCTTCCCCTGGTCAGCAGCCTGGCTGCTGAATTCTGCACCAGTTGAAGTTTCGGAAACCGTCTTCAGATGCAGCCCCATGTATAACGCATTGTAGTAATCTAACCTAGAGGTTACCAGAGCAGAGAGAACAGAAATTAGGCTATCTCTGTCCAGACAGGGATGGAAGGCACTCCTCACCACTGAGGCCACCTGAGCCTCAAGTGACAGTAATGGCCCCAGAAGTACCCTCAAGCTGCGTACCTGCTTCGTCAGAGGGAGTGTAACCCCATCAAGAGCAGGCAACCTCCGATTCATCTGGTCTAGGGAACAAACCCACTAGCAGTGCCTCAGTCTTATCTGGATTGAGCTTCCGTTTATTGGCTCTTATCCAGTCCATTACCAAGGCAAGACAACAGTCCAATACATACATGGCCACACCTGCAAATGTAGAAGAAAAGTAGAGCTGTGTGTCATTAGCATATTGCTGACAACTTACTCCAAAACTCTGGATGATCCCACTCAGCGGTTTCATGTAGATGTTAAACAGTATGGGGGATAAAATCAAACCCTGAAGAACCCCACATTGAAGGGTCCAGAGCATGGGTAGGCAAACTAAGGCCCGGGGGCCTGATCCGTCCCAATCGCCTTCTAAATCCGGCCTGCGGTCCGGGAATCAGCGTGTTTTTAACATGAGTAGAATGTGTGCTTTTATTTAAAATGCATCTCTGGGTTATTTGTGGGGCACAGGAATTAGTTCATTACCCCCCAAAAAAATATAGTCCGGCCCCCCACAAGGCCTGAGGGACAGTGGACTGGCCCCCTGCTGAAAAAGTTTGCTGACTCCTGGGCCATACGACCGAAAAGCACTCCCCAAGTATCACCCTTTGGAGATGACCATCCAAGTAGGACCAGAACCACCGCAAAGCGGTGCAACCCACCCCAGCTTGGGTAGCCGCTCCGAAGGATACAATGGTTGATTGTATTGAAACTTGCTGAGAGGTTGAGGAGAATTAACACTTTCCCCATCTCTCTCCTGACAGGGTGACTAAAGCAGTTTCTGTGCCAAAACCAGGCCTAAACCTCGATTGAAATGGATCTAGAAAATCAGTTTCCTCCAAGAGCACCTGGATCTGGATTTAACCATTGTGGCTAATGCCCATTGATAAATCTGTTTTTAATGAATTTGTCTTACAGCTACATCTTGTGGCAGTGAATTCAATGAATTATTTCTACTTTGTGTCACAATGCAAGTTCTGCCCCTGCCCTTTTCTGGCCTATATTAATGGCCAACCCAGATAGTTTTGATCAGACTCCTACCTATAGTAGACCACAAGCTTAACATGAGTCAACAGTGTGGTGCAGCAGCAGAAAAAGCTAATGCTATTCTAGGCTGCACCAACAGAAGTATAGTGTCCAGGTCAAGGAAAGTAATAGTCCTGTTCTATTCTGCCTTGGTCAGACCACACCTGGCATACTGTGGTGTAGAGTTCTGGGGGCTGTAATTTAAAAAGGATATTGACAAGTTGGAAAGTGTGCAGAGGAGGGCGACCGAGATGATCAAGAGTCTGGAAACCAAGCCTTATGAGGAACAGTTGAGGGAGTTGGGGATGTTTAGCCTGGAAAAGAGAGTGAGAGGAGATAGGATAGCCATCTTCAAAAATTTAAAGGGCTGTCACATGGAAGATGGAGCCAACTTGTTTTCTCCTGCTCTGGAGCGTAGGGCCCAAACCAATGGCTTCAAGTTACATGAAAGGAAATTTTGCCTAACACTGTGAGAACTTTCTGATGGTAAGACCTATTTGACCACGGAACGGATGTCCTTGGAAGGTGGTAGACTCCCCTTTGGACATTTTAAAGCTGAGTTTGGATGGCTATCTGTCATGGCTGCTTTAGCTGAAATTTCTACATTGCAGAGGGTTGGACTAGATTCCCCTCAGAGTCTCTTCCAACTCTACAGTTCTATGATTCTATGAAGCTCACTGCATTTTGTAGGAAAGAAAATGGCAGCACTGGCAGGTCCAGCTGCTCAGGCTCAGTCAGCACTTCTATAACTGCTGCTGCTGGGATATTTGTGGCTCACTGCCAGACTGCCTATAAGGAGTATTGAAAGGAGCCCTAGGCCTGCATGGCTCGTCTCTATACATACCACATTGCAGGAAAATAAAAATGTTAGTGCTACTGCCATACCAAAATAAAAAGAAAGGCGGGAGCACAAGGCAGGTTCTGGGTCAGTGACTCACACCTATTTTCCCATGGTAAATGATATGCTAGCAATGAGCCTGCTATCTGGTTCCAGTTCTTAGGGTTCTTCATATATTACGTCCCTGTTGTTGTTGTTGGTCATTGGTCAGGCAAATGGTCAGGCAAAAACTGATATTTGTGTGACTTGGTCATTGAGAGGGAAGAGCACACTAATTGGCCACTGACTGTTTCTACATATTGGGACTGAGAAAGGAAAACATTTTTTTTTATATAAAGAAGACTGGCTACATAAAAATGCAAAAGCTTAGTTTATATGTTCCACACACACAAACCTCAGCTTGAGATGTGGACATTAACACTTGCACTGTCTGTAACAGTGCCATAACTGTTCTTTCTGTTTGAATGACTTCCAGGAGGTTGATGATATGTGACAGTCGGGGCAGAGGGAAGGGGGACAGTGAGGGGCGCTTCGCTTTCCTACCTCACCTCACCTTTCTCTGTTCTGAAAGTGCCTTCCATGCAAGTGGCTTTCCCTCACAGCATTCTAAATGAAACCACATGTGATCATTTAGAGTGGATAAACAAAGCAGGGAATGGGTTAAACGCCCTCTGCTCCCAATCACCTCATCTGAAGTGGCTATTCATGTGGGGGAAAGACTGTCAGGTCAGTTTGACATGCTTGCTGGCGAAGTGCTTCCAAATGTACCTATGTCACTACTACCAGAGGCCTGCTGTCATATTAGGCTAGGAGATTCCTTTCCCCTGCTGCTACCAGTAGCACAGCTCCCCTGTGTGGAGTTGTCACATGGAGAGTACACTCTGCCGCATTTCAGAACATAGGAAACTGCTACCTGGGACAGGTGTAAGGAGCCTTTGGCCCTCCTGGTGTTGCTATAACTCCCATGCTTGCTGGGATTCAGCAACACATGGAGAGGAAGAAAGGTTCTCCACACCTGATCTAGCAGGTATTGCCTGTCTTCCCTGGAAACAGACTCTATTACATGTTCTCACAGGTTTGATCCAGGGTTGGTGGGAAATATTCTCTACCACCCCCACCTGACTCTGGAAAGATATTCTCACTTTTGTCTGCCCCACTTGCAGTTCATGCTGAGCACAATTCAGCTCCTGTGCATATTCTCTTTGGTTGTACAGTTCTAACCTATCAATAACTTTTATGGGTAAAAGTTATGACAGGAATCTGAACTACGGAAAGAAGCAGCAGAAAATTACTGCCTAATTACTGTGAGTCTCCCTAGAAAGCATATGACCTCTGACGTAGGGACATGGACTGTGGTTGGCAAGGAGAAAATTACTGTGTTTATTTTCTTTAAAAAATGTATTTTAAAAATCCCCAAACCCAAACCCATTCTCACATTTTATCATTTTCTTATCCCAGCAACCATTACTGATAGCCAAAAATACCCACCCTAATACCACTAGTTAATTGTGAAGCCCTTTTTCCTACTGTTGGGTTGTAAACTTCCACTATCTTAATCTGCGTTTACATCTATTATTGTGAGAGAATATTAAAGTCCCTCTTTAATGTAATGCAAGTGATTGTTTGTATTACCACCACATCTTTCCTGGCCTTAAATAAAAAGGTTAGCCCCTGAGAATTTGATAACATTTCCCAATCCTTTTTAGAGTTTCCATTCCTACAATTCACCAAGCAAGCATATTCTTTAGCCAAGGTAGTGTTTATCTTTCATTTAGCAAAGGCAGGACTTAAATGACCTAGTATGCCTGTTAATGAGAAGGTTGTTATAGTAACATGTATTCTGATATCAGTACATGGGTACTATTTATATAGAAGTAACATAATCTTAACCAAAACAAAGATCACACATGCATAGCAGTTAAGGAAAACTGAATTAGATGCTTGTGAAATAGCTGCAATGATAGAGCACAAAAGAGAAGTCTTGTACTTTCTACTTTGGTTATTAAAGAATTGAACTTCTAGCCAGTGATTTTGTACAAATCGTTTTCCACCATGTTCAACAGAGTACACATGAAGGTAAATTCAGAACATTTCCTAGTATTTGCTATTACTATTAATGTTGTGTCTTTCATAAATCTGAGTTTTCAAAGTCATAGTAGGATTTTTTTTAAAACTTGTTTCAGAATTGTAACTATACAATTGAATTTTGCAACTGAAATTATCTAGGATTGCAGTTCCTTAAACCGTAAAGTACTAGATGCATCTGAACTTTCAGGATTCTTTAGAAGTATTAAATAAATAAAATCATATCATACTTTTCCTTGGTTTTGAATTTCTCACCATGTGACACTGGAAATTTATTTTTATAAAAGTACCTTAACTCAGCAAAATTTTGCTATCACCAGTATTCTGACAGTACCCAAAACTTTTACCTTTTACGTTTAAATCCATGGAAACTGTTCAAGTTCTGAATGAAAGCCTGATTCAGTAACAAGACTTAATGAGGGCAAACTGAAGCTTAAACCACACAGGACAGAATGCTCCTGGCTGATTGTAAGATAGCTGGGTTTTCAATCAGCCTTGGATAGGGCTGCACTCCCTTTGAAGATATAGTTTAGGTGAACCTTTGCATTCAGCAGTGAGCATGGATGGGTTTTGACAGCATCCAGCAGCACTTTTGCACAGCTAAGGTTACTGCAAAAACTGTGCCTGTTCCTTGCAGTATCAGGCCATCGTTAGCACGTAACTTACTTAAATCTCATTTGGACAACTGTGACACTCCACATGAGACGGTCTTTGAAGAGTATTCAGAAGTTCAAGTTGCTGCACCCAGTGCGGGGGGCCAGCTATCAGGGGCATGCAGTTCCCATGCTTTCATAACTTCATAGGCTAGCAAGTCTGTTTCTAGGTAAAATCCAAAGTGTGAGTTGTGTGGCCTGTAAAGTCCTAAATGACTTGGGACCGTGTCATCTGAAAGTCTGCATTTCCCACCATATGAAGCGCATTTGATGGGAACTAAAAAAAAAATAGGACCTTTTCACCTGCTACTTGCAGGCTCTTGGATGTCTTGCCAAGGAAAAGGGGCTAACCAGGCTTGACGACCTACCACCAGCAGGCAAGTACATTTTCATTTATACAGGCCTTAGACTCAACATCTGGCTTTTTAGTTATGTCGATGTTTGTTTTAACTGGTTTTCAAGAGGTTGGAAACTGTTTCTCCTGGCTTGATTTTATTTTGTTGCTGTTCTATTGTACTGCTATTGTTAGGCATCTTAAGACCCAATTACTGGAAAGGTGGGATAATAATGTAATAAGCAAAGGGGAAGCATCTATGCAAAGGATTTCTTGTACTTGCTCATACCCATCATGCAGGAAGTCCCATTGATAAAAGTGACCTGGTCGTTAGAGTCATCCTGTTTTCCTCCATCACCATTTGAAACAGGTTTAGATCTCATTTTGATTCTATGTTAAACTGAAAACATTGCTGTATTGATGTAGTGCCTACAATAAGAAAGTTAACCAAAGGCTGCATCTCATTGCGTCCCTCTACTCACAGAAGGCAGGAAAGCCATTTTTACTGCTTCTCCTTTCTCTCCCTATCTTCCCCTCCCAATTCTACTATGGGACTGCATGAAAGGTAACCTGGGAAGATTTGGCTTTCCATTCACAGAACTTCCTCTCTCCTCTGACCAAAGAGCTTTCTGTAAGCAGAGGGGTAAAATGAGATACAAGGCAGAATTACTGCCTGCATGTGATTAAAACTCAGTTGTTTGGGCATATACATAGCTATGGCAATGTTCTGCATTAGTGAATGAAAGCACTCTCTGCACCTTGTGTACTGGCTCTGCTGTGAATGGTTTTGGCCAGTTAAAAGTCGCTAATGTAATGACTAGTGTTAAGTTTGGATATGGGGCACTTATTTGTGAGTTGCATGTCTGAGTGGCATGCCCATCTTTTTGCCACTTTATCCTATCCTGCATGACTGGCAGAAGGCAGCTTATGTACCAAGCTCCCCAAAGAAAGAGCACCATATAAGAAAATGTAAATAATGTCAAAATCTGTGTTGGAAAAAAATGGAGCTCCAAGTACTTCTCTACCACACCAAAGTGCTGAGAACTGTAAGGTTCTTCCAACACTGGTGGTGGTGGGGGAATTACCTAGGCAGAATTTTAGACTGCACACAAGAGGGCATCTTACATCTTAATGTATTTTTGTAGTTAGATCTGCATGCAAGCGATCTGTGAGCCCATGGAAAACTTGAAAGAAGTGACAGAAAAATGTCTTGCACTGAGGTTATGTATTTCAGCTTTACATGAAATATTTTATATATAAAACTCTGTTAAGTGATTTTTGTCCAATTTATAAATCTAAAGAATTCAAAAATAAGGCATTCAATATTTTGAAAAAAGTACAGATTTACAAAATATGTATATTCTGTCATGAAAACTTCACACCAACATTATACACTTTGAAAAAAATACAAACAGGATATATTACAAATTTATGTAGCAATAACTTAGGTCATAACATGCAATAGAAAGTACATTAATCAAGGTACACAAGCTTTTAGAGTTTTGAAACTGAAGGGCTTATTTTTGCAAACACATCTGTATGCAAGTCAAACGTGGCACTTGAGAAGTTCTGATAGCATTTCCTATCGCGAGTTAAATTGTACATGATGATTATGAGGATGTCGGTTAATGAAGTAGTTATTTCTTATGAATCATTCCAACTTTGTTCAACAATAGCCGAAACTCTTTTTTCATATTCACGCTTGTTTTCCTGATAAAGTTGTGCAGCCTGACTGTTGGCAGGACTATTTGGATTGGGTTCGTCAAGCAGCGACTGGAAAGAGAAAAGGAAGCCAAAATTGGGGGTGGAATATAAAGCAGCAGCCATCAAAATGAAGAGATCTAACCAGAGTAGAATGCCATGTTTGAGGGTTACAAGAAGCCCAGGCCCTGTTCTTGCAACATTTACATTTAATATTACATCTAAACTGATACAGTAAAAGAAAAATAACAATCCTTTTGACAAGCACTTTAGACAAAATGACTTACTAAGTAGCCGTACAGTTACTAGAAATAGTTCAAAATATTCACTCTAATAAATTGCTCAAGATAGAAAGGACTCAATCTTCATCAGCAATTTTCCCCATCAGCTTCTCAGATGAGTAGACTACTATGAAGAGCAGTATGTTATTTACTAAGATTACCTGAATTGAGGTTAAAATAGATGAGACATCATACGTAGGACTCCAGCGATTCTGAAGGATATCTAAACATATGCTACCATCTGCATATACTAAAATGAAAAGAAGGTTTTAAAATTATACCACTATTATTTCAAGTTTATGCCAGTTTAATGCTACATGTGAACGGGCGATGCATTTCTCCAAAAGTTCAGCATTTTAATTCATATTGAAATCTTCATAAACATGCATAGATCATGCTGCAGAAAATACATAGGAGAAGAGCATATTGCACACTAACTTTTCACCAATGAGGCAACCTGCAGTTAATCTTGTGTGGGCACAGGTTAGAAGTACTGGTCACTAGGCATTTTGGGAGGTAGTATCCATTTATTTATTGTTCACTTTTGGGCAGGAAGAAAATCAAAGTGAAATTCTCGTTCCCAAGACGGGTTTTTCTGCAGTTCAATGTGCTGATAGAGACTCATGACTCATAACAATCCCGATGCAAAATCTGAAGATAATTATATGAAAGATGTTCGGTTTCCTTTGATTTGTAGCAATAGAAGAGGAACCCTCTCACTTTATCTCTAACCAATCTTCCTAACAAAGTTAAAATATATGGGTTCCTCTATGCGTATGTTAGTTACACACACTGAGCAGGGACATAAAAGTTCCTCTCCAAAAGGAGGATCAATCCTCCTTCACATTATGGGCTTGTAGGCTCGCTGTCTCTCTTTAAAACAGTGTATATTGTCTAGCTACATTTGACATCTCAGTAAAAACAATCTCTCATTCCTCCTCACTCTTCAGCTGATGAACAGCAAGTTGCTTAGGCTACAGGAAGAATGGGAGGAAAGGTTTCAAAAATATTGTACACAGGGCCTTGATGTCTTGTCAAATGATTGAATCAGTGCTTGGACAGCATCAATACTGCTCCCTGTTAACTGAGCTCCTTGTCTAAAAGAGAAGCAGCCATATGCTATACACAGAGGATTCAGCAACAAATTTTGAGACAGAAAGCTTCCAAAAAGGAGCACAGATATTAAGGAAGATTACAGCTCCAGCTGCAACATTCATTAAGGCTTTGGATTTTGCAGATGTAGGGGGCTGGATCCAACAGAGGCGGCCACTCATGCAGTGGATCTTTCCCCATTCCCCACTGTACCCTCCAAAGCAATTCCCTTAATCAGGAAGTTCTTTACTGGTCTCTAATAGAACAAACTATTTCTAAACTTAATTAGTTTCCATTTATTTTTCTGATTGCCAGTATGACATGGCTGTTCAGTGTTCAGATATTATTTTAATGAAAGTATTGGCTGCAGGCTGTGAAGTATTTCTGTGTTAAGTAGTTGTCATGACAATTACCTTCAGCAATTGATATGGATATTAAAACTTTGTTAAAAGTCAGAGGGCACATGCTTGCATCTAAGGTTTTTACATATTCTTTATGAAAACTTACCATTGGGATGAAACATTTTTGATAAAAACCGAACAGTTGGAGGCTTATTTGGATATTCTTCTGAAAATTCTATTACTAGTTTAAAGGTACCTGTAAAAAATGAGAGAAAGGGACGGAAAGGGGGCAACAAACAAGAACAAATCATGTAGATGAATCTGCTTTTAAAAGCCTAAACATGACATTTTATTTAATACATTTGTATCCCATCTCATAAGGCAGTTTAGAGTTATATAACAAAGCTATTACAAACATCTTAAGATCGCAAATATATAGCAGAAAAACTAATTCCTTTCAAAAGCACTTATGATTAACAAGAGGTCTACTACTCTTGAAATAAAAATAAACACTTAGTCTAACATTATTTTTAGAGTTAATAAATTGCTGCAGTACACAGCTATGAATAGAAATAACATCAGCATCCTAAGAGTATCTTAGCAGCCCACTCAAGAGTAGAATCTAAAACTGTGTAGAAAAATATACAGATGAATCAGGTATATTCCTTTTGAATTTCCACAGGTTGAAAATGTAACATTGGTTTGGTATTAAAAACTAAACACAAATGGAGTTAGATAAATGTCTGGCAAACCTATTCAGCTCAGATATTTATGAGTTACATAACAGGCATTTTAAGCTGGCGCTGATTAACTGTTCTAATGAACAGGTCTTCATACATTATACATTTACTACAATGAAAGTATTTCTGTGAAGAAAGCAGCATGAAATCTATGCTCGAGATCATCATGTGATATTTCTCTCTTTCACACACAGATACATATATGTGAGATACAGATACATTTCAAGGATCTGAACTCATGCATTTCACACTGTTTCTAAAAATAATAATGTGTTCTATGTGGGGACAGAAGCTGAATGTGTAAATTGGCCTGAAATTATCCAGCACAGTCAAACACATCCTTTGAGAAAACGAAAAGCAAAAAAGCTGGGCAGCTGAGGATGAAGCACTATACACAAATGAGGAGTTGCATGCCTATACATCTAAAAATGTCAATGTTTCAAAAGAAAACTTGCTCTCAGGACAGTAAGTACAGGTGTGCTTTTCTTTCTTTTTTTCTGGAGCAACCTGGTGCCCTCCAAACATTTTGGACTACAAGGCCCATTGACCTCAGCCATAATTTTATTTTGAAAGAAGTGACATTCTCTTAGAAATACACAAGGCTTCTAGTACCTACATTTTCAGCAGTAATTTGAAGCATGCCTCTTTTTTGCTGCATTTGTGTGTTTTTCGTATTGAGAAAGGGACACTTAAAAAAAGAGAACTGTCAACATTCAGTTGACAGCCTTGAAGTCTTCATTACATCCAACTGGGTATCAAAAACTAACAGAATCTATGGGCTGGGTCAGAGACAAGCAACTTACCATCAAATAGATTATCAGAAACATTTGCCATCATTTTTGTGATGACAGCCTGCGTTTTCCCTGCACTAACAAGTTCCCCTGGGCTATACATGAGAGCCTCAGGTGTCTGGAGCTTGCAAGTAGCCATTTACTTCACTACAGGTGCTAAGCAAAAATTGTCTCAAACCTGGGAAGCTCTACAAAAAACTGCTTTACCCCACCTTTTCAACTACAACTGACGGAATCAAGTTTAAAACACACACACAAAATACAACAAGTTACAAAGTTGAATCTTCCGCTGATTTTTTTTGTAGGACACCCAAGAGTCATCCACTTCACCTTCTAGTGTGAACTAGAATAATCAGTATGAGCACAGAACAGCTCTATGGTCATTAAGACTTACAAGTTTGCAGGAAACACTTATATACTAGTTCTAAATAAGACCAATACAGATCTTAAAAGAAACAAAAGGTGGGAGGGAAACACCCACACAAAATTTTGGAACTTCAACTTTTTAAAAAAACCTGTTCAAGACACAACACTAGAGAGTGATAAACAGGTGGCTTTAAGTCTGCTTCAACCACTGCAAGAACAGCCATATACTTTACTGTGGTTATTTTCACCGAGACAGTTTTATATACAGATCAGTTCAAGGGAACGTGAAGTTGTTTTTATTTTCAGTATCAAAAGAGGAATCAGGATCATGTGCTATGGGCAAAGCCAGGCATTACCAAAAAAGCATGAAAAATGTTGGAATGAACTAATGTGAACTTCCCCCCAAATCTTAGCAGGCTCTACTGAATACAAGCTCAAAATCATACTGAAGGTCTGGTTTTAGGTACCGTCCTTGAGTGGGGCTATTGTGTGTGCTCGTGTGCGCGCGCGCGCACTCTCTCTCTCACACATACACATACACATACATACACACACACACACACACACACACACACACACTCCCACCACCCCATGGGCCCACTCTTTTCCAGTTGAATATCACATTTGGAAGACACCCAAGCTGTTCATCAACAATTATGTCTGACTGCTTTATTCTGTGCCTAAGTGCCTTGTTGATGGAAACTGTGGCTAAAAGCCAAATAGCTACTTTAGCGATGCCCAAGGTCTTGGGCATGCTCAGTAATATTTGGGAGGGGGGAGAGAGGGGGAGGGAACAACAAAATTTCAAAATCTATTTTCCATGTGTCATGGGGGAGTTCTATTCAAGAAACACAAGTCCAAAGTTCAATTGAACAAACAGAATTGGTCTTGGGGTTCTTTGGATCCCTGTCTGTTACATCAGGGTCTCCATTTTGGCAAATATGCAATTGTCACTGGAGATAGGAATTTTGGAGCAGTCAGAGGAAGCTCCAGTAGAACCAGCTGCAAATTCAAGCATTAAAATATTTCCAAATTGTCCGTCATGGTTAATTTATAACTCCTCCAGATGACCCAATTTTAGATTAAGGATGTGACAACCTACTTCATGAAACCATCAGACTGATTAGCACTTTGTGTACTCGGGCTGCAAACCTAAATGATAAAAGACCCTTTCAACTAAGTGGATTTTATTTATATTGTACAGTGCAATCCTAAACAGGTCTACTGAAAAGTAAGTTTTGTTGACTTCAATGTGACTTACTCCTAGGTGAGTGGGGTTAGGACTGCAGCCTTAGTATTGTTAGGGGCTTATGGTCAAACAAGTAAATTTACATGATTTAAAGTACTAGGACTTCTTGCTAGTAGGTACTGTAAGAATAATGGGCTTTAAAAACAGGTAGTTGGGTTTTTGTTACCAATGTTTACATGCATTACGGGTAGGGAGCAAGTGGTACTGTGGTCTAAACCACCGAGCCTCTTGGGGTTCCCAACTGGAAGGTCAGCGGTTTGAATATGCATGATGGGGTTAGTTCCCATTGCTCTATCCCAGTTTCTGCCAACCTAGCAATTTGAAAGCATACCAGTGCAAGTAGGTAAAAAGGTACTGCTGCCATGGGAAGGTAAACGGCGTTTCTGTGTGCTCTGGCAATCGTCACTGTGTCCTGTTGTGCCAGATGTGATTTAGTCATGCTGGCCACATGAGCCGGAAAGCTGTTTGCAGACAAATGCTAGCTCCCTCGGCCTTAAGTTTGATGAGCGCTGCACCCCAAAGTCGTCTTTGACTGGACTTAACCGTCCAGGGCTCCTTTACCTTTGCTTACATGTATTACTACTACAACTGGAATGCTATCCTCAATATAACAATATCAGACAATTATTACAGGTAACATATGGCAACATAATGCAAGATTCCTGTGCTTAGATTCTAAATTTGAGAAAAGCTACCAGAAGCAAAAAATGTTTTAAAAGCTTACCATCTTCAAAGGGAGTACCTTCTGGCCTGGAAAGAGAGATAATACGAATTAATAATTCCTTAACTGTAAATGAACAAACAGAACTCACAAGCTATTTTCTGCCACTTAGGTTCTCATAAAACAGTGGCCAGTAGCTTGGTATATAAATGTGTTACTGAAAATATCTTTGATTCCCAAACTCTAGATATTGCAGTGCCTCTGCAAAGAGTCTCACTTGCAAAGCTATAATTTGAGACAATACATTCACTGGAATTTTCAGCCAAAGTGCTCAGCTTGTTCCATTCTCAATTAAAAGTGTCATGCTTGTACAATTACATGCTATATCATAAGAAAGCTTAAAAGAGAATGATTTGAGAGGGATTCAATTTAGTGCTAAACAGATTGCTCCATCAACACAAACATTTGTGCCCCTCCCCCTGCATGTTGTTCAAGGGGTTCTCCTGACCCCACCCCCACTTTGGGCATGTGTGTGTGCAAGGTAGGAGAGGGGGAAGCCCTGCTGAGCTAGCAGAAGTCCTTGCATGGGCTTCCACTGGTGGGGCTTCTTAGTTGAATCTTATCCTTTATGTTCCATGTTGCCCTGTTAAACTGAATACTCTGGAGTGCAAGACTGGGCCCTTAACAATCTGTTTTCAATGATGAGCTCTATTGTTTCAGTCATCATTTAGCATTTGTGAAAGTGACAACTTAGAATAAAATAACTTAGAATATATTCATTCATTTCCTTTATAATGAAGGTAAGGTTCACTTACCCAAAAATAACTGCATTCCATTGCATTATGTTGTTCTCAGATGGTGCACCACTGACCCCCACGGGTGGATCTTCCTGTAATCTTTAAAGAAGAAAGCAGAATGCATGGAGACATTAAAATCCATAGTGTAAACACACTATTCCAGCCAGCCAACCAACCAACCAACCAGCCATGCCTTTCTTTATGATATTCCACCCATTCCTCCTCCCATCTGGTTTTCTGTCTCCTCAATGGGCAGCCAGCATTCTGTATAGGTGTCTATGATGATTATCCTCTTTTCTACAGCTGTAAGAGGAGGAGAGTTGGGGACACTTGCACATCTTTTCTCAGGCATAGCACTTCTGGTGCCTGATGTAAGCAAAGCTTGTCTGCTCACTTATGCCACCACGTAAGTAGTGTTGGTAGTCAACCTGAGATCTGCTTTGTGGTGGCTATTGCTGGGTACTGAGGCAGGGACCATCTGCATCCAAACAGATGCTCTACTAGCAAGCTGAATCCTTCTCATGAGCATTCAGACCATCGCTAGGAGATAACTATATGGAAAATGAACTGTTATTTGTTCACATATTGGCAAGTATCTACTGAAGCCATAAATTATGTCTGTTTGAAACACAGAACATTACTGAAACATCAGGTGAAATCAAGACCCTTGATTCAGCTGGTTTGTCAGCTGTGGGTTAGCTCCACTATGGTGGCTCATGCATTGGTGACCTCTAGGATAGACTAATGTAATGCGCTTTATGTTGGGCTACCCTTAAGGCTGGTATGAAAGCTGCAGCTGGTGCAGAATTCCACAGCCCGGTTGCTATTGGGTGTTGGCTACCAACAAACCAACACCTGTGTTGAGGGAGCTGCACCGGCTATCACATGCTGATTATCTTTCTTCAAGGTCTTACTATTAGTATATGAAGTTCTAAACAACCTAAGGCCAATGTACTTCAAATGCTGCCCTATTCCATAACCACTGCTTGAACTTTGTATCCTGCCACATAAGACTTGTCAAATGGTGCCTGGCTATCCTCAACAAGAAATTGTGAATTTAAAGTGATGGCATGGGATTATGGAACTCTATACCTAATGAAAGCAAGTAGACATCATCTGTAATGAGTCTTATGTGCCTACTTGTGTTATTATGTCACTATTTCAGGAAGCTTTCCCATGGAAATAATTTATAGTTTTCATAACCTTGTCAGGTGACCCAGACTCTACTTAAGCTTCCTAAATGTATTTTGCTTCAATTTTATTTATGTTGCTCTGGTTTTGAGATTCTGTACACTACAGAAATATATTTTATCTGGGTTTTCAGTAGAGAAATGATGATCATTAATAATATCTGTAGTGAGACAGTGCTGTTCTATTTTGGTTGGTGGAACAATTTGATTTCAGAGTGTGCTGTGCCAGCCCATTTCAACCCACCTCCATATGTTACTCCATTAAAAAAAAAAAGTCCCAACATGGTCAAGATGCATCTTTTTTAAAAGTCACTCAGTTCCTCAAGCTGGATTACATACAGGGACATCTCTTAAAGAAAAGCTGAAGAGACAGAGTGAACTCCTTCCATGTGGCAAATATGACCTCCACACGCTTACTTTATGTAACACAAGAGCTTGCCTTGTTATGCCAGTATTGTATACGGACATTTTTACAGCAGAACTACAATATTAGTGATAGTCTGTTAATCATGTTTACTTAAGAGTTTGCAACATTTTGCCGAGGAAAATTAGAGGTTTAAGACACTGAAATAATTCTCTGTCAGTAGCCCTCACATCAAAAAGTACATTTCCATTTACAGTGGTACCTCGGGTTACATACGCTTCAGGTTACAGACTCCACTAACCTAGAAATAGTGCTTCAGCTTAAGAACTTTGCTTCAGGAGGAGTACAGAAATCGTGCTCTGGTGGCGCGGCGGCAGCAGGAGGCCCCATTAGCTAAAGTAGTGCTTCAGGTTAAGAACAGTTTCAGGTTAAGTAAGGACCTCTGGAACGAATTAAGTACTTAACCCAAGGTACCACTGTATTGGGAAGGAAGACTTGCAACAGAGTGGCATTAGGAATAACAGCAAATTAACAGCATGCTGCATTGTCAGTCTACATACAGTTCCTTGCCCTTAAAACTACCCTGCATTTATACAGCTCTCTTCTTGGAGCATGCTCAGTTCAATCAGTTTAATGTCAACAGCACAAGCTACCTAAAACCTTGGCTGGAGAGCAAAGGAACGTGACTTCTTGCTACATGATAGCCAGCTTGCATGCCAGTGTCTCAGCAAAAGCATTAAGCCCCATGTGCTGTTCAGAGATAGCTTTGGTTCTTGAAGCTTCATGAACACCATGCTGTGAAAAGCCTTCAGCTATGAAGATTTTGCAGCCCTGACTGGGATTTCACATGCAAACAGTTAATTGAAGATTAGAGGGAGCAAGGATGCCATTTACTACCAAGTCAACCTAAATGAAACAAGACTTAAGCAAAATATACCTTCCTTAACTCAGATGGCTTGAGTGCCAAATACTCAACATTTAAATAGTAAATTTCAAATGTTCAAAACACTTCACATACGTTATCCAAGAATACTTAGAACAGTTGAGGTGAGCTTTGAACTAAGTGTTTCCTGACATGAATCCCAGTTTCTATGTAAAACCAGCTATCTAGCATGCACTGTGAAACTAACGCATTCCATTTTGAGATTTCTAGTGCCAGATATTTCCCCATTCAGTAGTTAAAATGTCTTCATCAATAGTGTTATGTGGAGTTGTTTAACAAATGTTAGGCTAGGGATCCCTTAGTTAGTGCATTTTATGTCCTCTTTCAAAAGGACTGTCCTAGCTCACATAACACTGGGTTTAAAAACAACAACTAGCAAGTTAAGTGCAGTTTAAATTCTAATCATAACCTTTCTAACTTTTGTGTCAGTTTTCAAAACATCGGTGCCTTGGTGAAAATATTGCTTGGTTCTGGGGTCATAATTTTTTTCCCCCATGTTGTTCCAGATGCAACATAAGGTGTCTTAGGGCATATTTTTAAATTTAAGTCAGTATAGTGAAACCAGTAAAACAATTATTAAAAGGAACCTGGAAGTATAAAGTTCCCATAGTGAAACTTAGCTTGACTGAGGAATGTATAAGTTCAGTTCCTGAAATTAATTCTGACACATTTATTTCAAAGTAAGCCTTGCTGGTTTCAATGGAATGCATTCAAGAAAACTGTTCAGGATCACAGCTTTGTGCAATACTGCATTGTTGGATACGGCCATTGTGTCACAGCACCAACCCATTCTGTGGCATGGCATAACCACATTTGCCATACTGGGGAAATACAACTATCTGCAGTCCTATGGCAATTCAGCAGCAACTGGATCCCATCTTAAAATGTTCACCTGTTCATACAGTTATTTTGTTTCTTTACTCCTCTATTAATTCCAAATTTAAGCAAAGTTGGAGACCATATAGCTGTCTGTACACTTAACAACATCCATGTTGTAATAGTTCCTGTGTAATGTTATCTAAACAATATTTAGGTATACAATGTATATATTGTAAATTTATAGAATATGGACATGTAGAATCCATTTGCAGTGCCAGGAAAAGCATATTTGGATAGGATGTCTTTCTTGGCAACCTGCTTGAGAAAATAAAATGGCCATTATTTTGCCAACTTCAGCATAACCTTCACAGATGCCTCCAGATGTCAGTAAAAGCTAAGAGGCAAAGAGCAATTATAGGAAGCAGCCCTAAACAAACACGGAAACAACACAAGCCTCCATTGTAATAGGCACAAACAACTTCAGTGTGAGAAAGTTAGCATTTTCTATAAGCCATGACTAAAATCATTGCATTCACTTAAGCACAGTCAGCATTCTCCCTGATTTTGAAAAACACAGCTGGTTATATAGCAAAAATTTAAAAAATCAATGTTTCTCTCCACCATTTCCCCTATCCCCCCACCCAGGAAGCTATCGAATTCACAGGCCAGCCTTATTTCTGAGAGATAATTCATATACCAATTCTCTTTGCATAAGTCCAAGTCATAAGGGAACAGAGTAGAGTGAATACCAAATGCACTGAAACTCTATTCTGGAGCAGATCCTTGGGGATTAAAAGATTCAACATAGCTAAACGAAAGAGGGGGACACTGGACTGGATGGAGTTTTATTTACAGCTCCACTGTTGGCTCACTAGGTAACCTGAGGCTGTGACAATGGCTTCTTTTATTTTTGAAGCATCACATTGGCAAGATGCTTTGGGATCAGTGGATGAAGAGCATAGAAAAACTCTATTAAACGGAAATAACAAAGCTTGCATTTAATACAGCTCTGTGGCCTACCAGTTTCCTTCCTTAAAAAGAAAAGAAAACCAAACTGTTGAAAATCATTTCTTGGGTATACCATTTACTGTGGCTTTTATGTAACAAACCCGTTTTCACACTCGGCAAACCCCAAAGGCAGCTTGCATGCTGAGTACTTGGAGGGGTGGGTGCAGGATAGAAAAAAAACAGGTAAGAGGCGACTTCTTAAAACCAGTGACCTAATCACTATTTTGCATAACGTCCCATGCTATAAACAAACTGGCTCCCTAGGTCATTCCCCTGAGTTGGGGGGGGGCTTCATCTGTACCTGTGACGTGGTCAATCCAGTCTATTTCAATCCAACTCCCTTATATCAACAAGACAAGTATTCTACAAAGGGGCGTCAAAGCCAAAAAAAGGGGGAATGGTCTCTCGAATCAGTTTGGCCTCTCTCTTATTTTTTTTGGGGGGGGGGGTTGAAGAGAGAAGAGGGCAAAACCCAGCAAGCTTCTTAAGTCTTTTGTCTAGCACAGCCCTTGTTCTTATAGAAGCACCTTCTTAAGAGAGGAGGAAGGGGAAGGAGGAAGGGTGGGGGGCAGTCTGGGTGCGGGGCAAGGGCAGATCTTTTCGAGGGGAGGAAGTGGAAACTCTTGAACTCTTTGTCCTCCCAGCAGGTTTTTTTGGGGGTAGAGACGGACAGGCGAAATCTAGAGTTCTTCTTCCCCTCCGCCCTAAACACAGAAAGCCCCCCCCCAGCTCCTCTGGAAGGGCAAAAGGCAAAGGTGAGCAGCTAGGCTCTCACAAGGGGGTCCCCAAGAGCGAGGGAGGACCCCTTCCTCCTCCTCCTCCAGAGAAGGCGGGAGGGAGGGGGCGCATTCCGGCCCTGGGAAGCAGCCAGAGCTCTCCGGAGGAGGAAGGAAAGGGGAAGAGCGCTTACCTCTTGAAATCTCTCATTAGCCTCCGCCTAGCTGGGGTGGACATGATGCTCCCCGCTCCCCTCGGCTGCCAAATGAATCCTCGGGCCTCCCCACCTCCAAAAAAAAGGCCTCAGCACCGCTGGCAACGCCGACGTCTCCCTCCCCGGCGGCCGCCTGCTCTCGCTCTGCTGCTTCACAAACAACTCCGCAATGGCGTCTCCCTCCGCCGGTGGGGGAGGGAACCAGCCGCCCTTCGCGGCTGTACCACTGCGCCTGCTTGGGGAGGGGACCCAGAACGCCTTAGGGATGTACCACTGCGCCGGCCTGAAGGGGGTGAGGAGGCTTTTCTCTCTCACTCGCTCTCTGAGCGCGTGGGTGTCGCCCTGCGCTGTGATTGGCTCTCCTGTCCTCCAGCAGGGCACGGGTTGCTGCGCGGATATATTTTGCAGATCTCGCCTACAGCAGCCTTCGAAGGCGGAGCAGCGGCTGCCGTGCGTGTGCCTCGGCGCGGGCAGGAGGCGTTGAGTTGTCAGAGAGTGTAGTGACGGTGTTTTTTCGGGAAATCATTGTTCCCTTTATGTCTTAGCTGTCACAATATCGTTGTTTATTACTTAGCTAAGGCTACCGCCCTAGCTCTACTTACCCTTTTGAATTTTCTCCGAAGTAGAAATGGTTTGGGTTGCACTGTTAACCAACTACTGTACATCCTTATATAAAAGTGCAAAGGTAGCCTTGTTTATCTAAAATCCAAAGTTGAGCCAGCCAAAATGTAAAACAAAAATAAACCCATCTTGAGCTTGGTTCTTAAACTGACCGTATGCTGCAACATTTTAGCCTCCCGTTTGTACGTTTTTCGGTATTTTTATTTTTCGCCTCTCTGTCACAAATCTTACCTTGATGGAGGATTGTGAATAACTCGGAACACCTGCCACAATTTCGTGGGTTTTTGGTTGGTCTGAATACAGACTCATCCAACAAGATTTTTTACATTTCTATAGCTGCCGTATAGCAGAAATTCGCGTTGCAACTCTCAAAGCAAAATACAAAACAACAACATTAAAATACAGTATAGAGCAATAAAAACTACTGCTAGTTTAAAAACAAACATACCCTAAAACATACTCTAAACTCATTTAAAAAGTCAGAGGCCCAGAGTGAGATAACACGTTTAAAAAACCCTGAGTAAATAGTATGGGATAGGTGCTCCTTATTTCAGAAACTATCATATGAGGGTCTAGTTAGTAGTTGTTCCTGATTTCAGACACCATAACTTTACAATATTCTTTATGGGGGAAAGGAATCTCTTCCATTCTTCGTTTAAGAACCTTGATCTACACATGACCTATAAATGTTTTCTGAATATAAGGTCCACTGAGTTCAGTGGATTGTGTTTCTCCTAAATAATTAGTGCAGATGGTTGTAGATAATAGACTCCAGTCATCAGCACATTTACTTAGAAATGGTCAATCAGTTCAGCAGGATTTACATCCTGGTAAGCATTGCAGCCTTAAAACCTTGACTTTATATAAATGGGCTCCTTCAGGATCACAGTCTAAAGATGCAAACCTATGCACATTTGAGAGCAGATGAAGGCTATGATCCCAGCTCCACTTATCTGGAAGTAATGCTGATGGAATTAAATAGGACTTACTTCTTAGTATACATGGTTAAAGGTAAAGGACCCCTGACAGTTAAGTCCAGCAGCAGACTCTGGGGTTGCGGCGCTCATCTCGCTTTACAGGCCGAGGGAGCCGGCGTTTGTCCGCAGACAGTTTTTCCAGGTCATGTGGCCAGCATGACTAAGCTGCTTCTGGCGCAACAGGCTTGTGCAATAGGATTGCAGCCTTAATATGTTATTGCAGTTATTAACCTTTTTCACTTAAGTGAAACTTTTTTCTATTTGTGGCATGATGTAATTCTTTATTCATCAATGTATAGTATGATTCATTTGGTAAGGTTTCAGACTGGATTACTGTATTGTTTTTTTACTGAGAATAATAAGTCAAAACATAATTGACCTTGTTGATTCCAAAAAGCAACAACACCATAATCATACTAATTTAATTTTCTGGTTATGTAGGTTCTTTTACATAGTTGCCACCACATAAACTATTGCTTCCTCACTGAAGAAGTGATAGCATCTGATTTTGGTCCAGATTAATTCCAAAGTGTCAGATGCTGCCCAGTGCTTTTTAAAATAAAAAATCCCATTTGACTGGCTGTTATCTTTTTCTAGTTTGTCCTGTAGCTACAAATCATCTTACATTGGAGTGGGGGAGAGAAGCAGACTGGATATGGCATTTTAACTGTCCTGATTATTTTGATCCAGTACTTTTTGTGTTTCTAAAGTCCCAGTATTTAATTAAAAATTAACATGTATAGTGCAATGCAATCCTTTGCATGTGTACTCCAGAGTAAATCCCATTTGGTATCCAATGCTTTAGACTGCAATCCTGTATCCATTTACATGGGATTAAGCTCCTTTGTACTTAATTAGCCTTACTTCTGAGTAAGATTGAGCATAAGATTGCAAGCACTGATTTTCAAGTGAATGATGTGAATGAAACAGGCTGTGAAGATTAGTTTATTTCAATATTGGAATCTGGCATCTCTGTCTAAAGTGCATTATTTGGAAGTAATTCACGTAGGCTATGCTGCAGATCCAGTTAACTCAGGATGGAGCTAACCTGTTGCTAGAAGAAGGCCAAGTGCTTTGTTTAGGAACTCAAAGCAGGTGGGGGAGTGCTGGAAGTGTAGGAGCTAGGTAGATTGTAAGGAAGTGGCGCCATTTAAAATGTAGTTATCACAATGGTGGAAATCAATCCTAAATGCAATTACACCTCCATAAGTGGATTTGGGAGCATACTGTAAAAGGTTTATGATTGTTGTTGTCAGAAGCAATGTCCATGAAATTGTAGATGCAATTGAGGGAGTCGGTATTATAACCTGGCTCTTCCAAAGGCAAGAATAACTGAGTTGTGAAGTCCCAATGGGTATGAAATAAATTGGTATGCAAGAACTGACGGCTAGTGTAGAATAATCTCATACCAAGCCAGAGGGCAGTGCATTGACAAAGTACCACCACGCAAGTCAAAAACTGTTTCCATGTAGTCAAAACATTATATAGTATTCACTGGCCCTGTTAAAAATGTTGCATTAAACCATAGTTCAAAATAAACTAAGCAGTGGTAGCTAACGGGGTATCCCCCAGATGTTGGTGGACTACAATTCTCATCGTCACTGACCACTGGCTTTTCTATAATGTAATCACTTTTTGCAATTTTTATGTCTATCTATCTGCATGGTACAGCAACAGGATTCCTGTTGAAGCAGACAGCAAGTATTGCCGCATATTGGAGAAGTGCTGCCATTGAATACCTGTGACAGCAGGCCTCCTCCCAACCCTCATGCCTTAGCTGTGTCCTTTGATGGCAGTGGCAGCAATGTTACAACTTATACAGGATTCTTGTCAGCTGTGAAAATGGCATTGTGTGGTGTGGAAGTGTGGGGGAAGGCATTGAAAAGCTGCCGCCATGAAATGAGGGAGGCATCTGCTTCTGGTGTCACTGGCAGCATCAGGGCCATTGGTGATGGGAACCCTGGGGATGGGTGAAGCAATATAATGATTGGTCCTCAAAGACACGTTTTCCCTACATCTGTTATCATGAGTCACATTGGTCCTTCTGGTTAAGACACACCCTCTAGAGAAGATTGGAGTGCACCACAAGTTAGAAATGAAGAGAGACCAGGCAAACAGGCTTTATATACACAACTGGCAAACGGGAGAGGATTTTAAAGAGGGCAATTGTCGCCCAAAATGCAACAAAAGGTATTTCTGAGGACTCAGATTGATCCATGGCTCAGCAATGAAATAAAGTAATATTTTAAGAAAAAACTGCTCCTTTTCCCTTATGGGGTATCCAAGAGCCCGTATAGAGTCTTTAAGTGGGTTCCCTATCCATAGGAGAAAATAACATCACAGGAGGCGGTCTATAGCAGAAATCCTGTCAGCCAGGGTACCTGATAATAGTCACTGATTGCATTACCTGGGCAGTCTGGTCATTCTTTTGTGATGGTTAATACTTTGGTTTCTGTATGCAGGTCACAGGCTCACCCTATTCATACACAAATACTGTATGCCCTTAAGACAGGATTTGTAAGCAAAAGACAGTGGGGAGGTTTTCCCATTTTCTTTCTCCTTGCAGAGAAATATTTGAGGACAATTTGGGAGAGTCAAAATGGCTTCAGGATTGCTCTCTTGTACTATTTCAGACATGTGGTTTATATACATATGTATGTGTTTGCCTTGTAAAGTTTTGAACATTTAATTTATATTTGAGACCTTAGAATTCTTATAACAGTAATAACAAGCCGTTTCTAGGCATATGCCATGTTAACATACTACATTGTCACTGAATAAATTACCATCTCACCACCAGACCTGTACATCTGATATTAAGAGGCAGACTTTTCAGGTTATGTAAGACATCCTGGCATGCTTCAGCATCCACATTTCTCTTCGTAGCAATTAGCAACTGCAAAATCCTATCTGGATTTTACTAAATGAGCAGAAATTTGAAAGATTTAACTTTATATTCCAGGAATCATGAAAAGCCTTGAAAACTCAGCAGCTCAAAAAACTAACTGAAAAAGTACTATTTTGGTTTTATAAATTGTGCTGTATGGGTTATAAGTCCCCCCAATCTGTGTATGAAAGGAGCAGTTCTGGACCCTGATAAAATTTTTTGCACAGAGCAACAGTCCTGTAGGGTGTGGGTGGGTGGGTATGTAATGGCACTGACTTTTAGGCAGCCAAGAGAATAGAGCACTTTTTCCCTATGCACTTTCTGAGTTCAGGCTACACAAACCCACAAACCCATACACAAACCCACCACTGATCAGTTATTAAAGGTTTGTCCTAAGGGAATAGCATTTAATTATGAAGTAATAAATAACTGTATACAGTGCTTTTTTCCCTTAAAAATGTTTAGGGGTACTCTCATTTTCCTACTCATATTGAAATACTGCCCCTCAATGAGGCCAAACTTAGATTCATAAAATGTTTAGGGGTATGCATACCCCTGCATCCCCCCCCAGAAAAAAGCACTGACTGTATATATGATACAAATTGTTTCATACTTGATGATGATGGATGTCTTAAATAGAAATTAATAAAAAAACTTCTCGATTCATTGGTGGATAGGTCATAAGACACTTAGCTCATGTGCGTGGTAATTTTGTTCTATAAGCTTTTTTTGTTCAGCTACTGAAGGGGTGGAAATAAATGGCTAGCTGGATCTAGATAACACTGGTCACCAGTGTCCATTAACTTTGTGTTCTGTTTTGTTTTTGTATTTTTATTTTAGAAATTGGCGTGCCTTGAAAGAGTCCCTTGTCAAGAAGAGGTGTAAACCTAACAGCAATATTCCTATGGTTAGACTGGTTGGGTGGGTGGGTGTGTGAACATTTTAGATCCCACTGTCTTGCCTGGCACACAGGAGGTGGATAGCTGATTTCTATTATATATAACTTTCCATTACTTTTTCAAATAAGTTCACATGCTGTCTGTTATCATTAATGAGGGCACCTATTAAAGTCGGAATGTAAAAATATCCAGCCGTGGGAAATAAAATACTATGACAGGTGCTGTCCAGCTGTTCCTTTGCAAGTGGTATGTTAGATGGAAATATTAGAAAATGGTCTCCTGATAGATGGTTCCTAACTATCAGGCTTGGAGGAGGTGACACCCCCATCATTTGAAGTCAGGCTTGCTTGTGTGGTTGGCAGTTTGGAGGATAACAGCAGGCATCCGAGTTTGTACCTGAAACCTGGGGTACAGGGTGCTTTCTGTGGGATCTGCTCCCTTGCTGGCATACCTGTTTACCTGCATAAAGTGAATTATCAAACAGCACTTCTGAACCCTTCCATCATCGGAAACCAACACAGTGCAATCTTTTCCCATGCTGACTCTGAGAAAAAGGCCCACTACATTCAGTGGTGCTTACTCTCTAAGTCAGGCATCCATCGGAACGCGTTACAATCTTGGGCAGATGGATTTGGGGCAGTCGACATTTCGTGGTGCTTGCAAGGAAAACCCTAACGGAGGCCCGGCAGCCTTGCGAAACGGTCGTTTTTCAGAAACCCCCGTTAGGTAAGAGGAGCGATTCCGGCCCCATCCGCAGGCATGTTGCGGGACCAGCTGACGTCACCCACCGGCCAAGACTCAGCACTCGCCCCACCTTTCGAACGCGTCGAACGCGATGAGGTCAGAGAGAAGCACCGCCTCTCGCTCCCGGGTGACGTAGGCCGGCCGGCTGTTGATATTGCCGGCTGTTGCTATGGTAACAGGGCCGGTTTGCTTGGCTGGGCCTAGGAGGAGTCAACATGGGGAGCTCCCGAGAGCAGGTCAGAGGCAGGAGCACCTTTAATAGGAGCTCCTCCGTGGGTGGTGCACTGGCGCTTCCCGGAGCCAAGGTGGCCCCGGGAGAGGCGGGGGAAAGAAGGGAAGCCGCAGGAGGGAGGGAACTGCGGAGCAGCAGAAAAGGCCGAGGGGCCGGTGGGGCGGAGGGAGGTAGCACCGCCAAACAAGGGGAGAAGATGGGCAAGCTTCAGGAAGCTGGGACTCCCCCCCCCCAATCCTGCAAGGACCGACGGAAGTTAAAAAAAAAGCAAAAACAAAAATGTTTTCTTTTTAAAACATCTGTTTACTGCTCTTTGGCCAAAAAAGCCTCCCGGGACGTCTTACCTTAAAAGAAAAGAAAAGAAAAATCGAACGGACTCCTCATCCTTGGAGGTTTTTTAGCAGAGGTTGGAAGGCTATCTGTCATGGATGCTTTAGCTGACATTCCTGCATCGCAGGGGGTTAGACTAGATGACCATCGGGGTCCCTTCCAACTCTTCAGTTCTATGATTCTAACAAATGCATACCAGCCAGTGACTCCAAAGCAAAGATTTAAACGCGAGAGAGCATCCAAACCCACAGAAGGGCTTGTGCGACCTGGCAGGGGTTGAGCCCCAATGGTTCTGCGCCAGTGCCCCAAATGTGGGTTGAGGTGTTTCTTGAGAGGCTGGTGAGGTTTCCTGTCAAACAAGGCAGGGTGATTTTCAAGGGCCGGATCTGTGTAGGGAGGGGTAGGAAAGAGAGGCAGCTGAACTGCCATTAGGCAGTGTGAGGGCGGAACATAAGTGGACCGGGATAAACCACAGACACAGAGGGTGCAGATGCTGACACCCAAGGTGGGGGTGGGAGAGGTGAGATCATCCCTCCCTCCGCACTTCCAGGCAGCTCTTTTGTGCAACTGCATTTCCCATGTACTTTGTGGTGAAGCTTTTTACAAGTGAATTGTGGCAGCGGGGCTAGTGGGATGTCTCCAATCAATGAATGAAGAGTGATACTCCCTGCCCCCCCATATGAAAACAGGAACTGTTCCACATTGCCTCTTTAGTTATATTGTACTGCTGTGATCAAAACTGTTTACAAGGTTGTGGAGTGGGAACACCAGCAGTAGCTACAGTGTAAGAAAAGTCTTGGGGATTGATTTGTTTATTTAAGACCATCCATGGCATGACACCTTACAATTAACAGGTGGGGCAGGTCCCTAGCGCAATCTAAAAGAAACAGATGCATGAGTAGGTGGGGAAGAATGTATGATTATTTAAATTATACACACTTTGCCCTAGTGACAATAATCTGGAGATAATTCAAAGTGGGGTGTCACATGTCCCTTGCACACTCAGGTACAGGCCACTCCTAGTTACCTAACTAGAGGTTTCAGTACACCAAGCCCCAAGTAATGTGCAAGCCCTGTTGAAGGAAAACAGATTTTGCTGCAGCAGTGGTAGACTGCACAAAAAGAAATAACAGCTGGTCTTGATACTTACATCTCTTCCTTCTTTCAGTGGGGAGAAGTACATGGTATTTTGTGTTACTGTCTTTAACAGCTGCAGCACTTGTTAGATGTGAAACTGGTTGAAAAAGTTTCTGTGTAGCTCCTTTTAAATTTATTTGCGGAATTCATTTAAGAAGCAACAAAAAAGTTTGAGTACTTCAAAATAACATTTCCCCCCTTCTTTGAAGAGATTTCAGACTTGAGTATGGAGATGTATGAGATCCTCGGAAAAGTGGGAGAGGGAAGTTATGGAACGGTAATGAAATGTAAACACAAGGAAACAGGACATATAGTTGCCATTAAGATATTTTATGAGAAGCCTGAAAAGTCCGTCAACAAAATTGCAATGAGAGAGATAAAGTTCCTGAAGGTTTGCTTTTTTTGTTGCCGTTTTGAAAATCAATGCCTTGATATCCCCAGAGATCAAATATGCATACTTGTTACATATATCTTTTAATTATTGCCTACTGAACACATATCAGAAAAAGGGAAGGGATAGTGTTTGTGTCAGATTTATTTTGTTGCTATGCTTTAAAATTAGAACCAGGATGTCAGTTGATTTCTGAGTACTGTACATAGATATGCTCTAGTCTCCTTGTTTGGAGGTCTTTAAGCAGAGGCTTGACAACCATATGTCAGGAGTGCTCTGATGGTGTTTCCTGCTTGGCAGGGGGTTGGACTCGATGGCCCTTGTGGTCTCTTCCAACTCTATGATTCTATGCTCCGGTGAATTCAGTGGTATTTTAGTGCTAAGTGTTCCAATATGAGTTTCTTCCAAGATTTTCTTCACAACCATGAAGGCTGAAAACTTGCTTTTTCATAAGTGATAATAGATTTTCTGATATTCAGATTAGAAACCTTAGACGTTGTGTTAATGTTGAAAATATATAGAGCCTTATGTAGGCAAACATAAGCGCTATTCCTTTTCTTATTGTTAATAGTAAGACACATTGTGAAATTATTTTGTGTTGCTACCAGTTAAAATAATTATGCCTCACGTAAAGGAATAAAAACACAGTGGTAGAATGTTTAATAGACCTTAAATGAAGTAAACTATATGTTAATTATTCATAGAATAATTTTATAGCTATAGTTAAAGTTATTTTTCTTAATCTCTCCATAAATGATAAAACAAAGTTTATAAATACGTATTGTATTTTCCCAATAAAGTACTAGGGATATGTTTGTTAAATCACTTCAAATTGTGTAGGCTCAAATTAATTGCGAGAAAGTAGATGAATTGCAAAACTCTTACAAAGGGAAGAAGAACAGAAGTTTGTTTCCTCTTTTGTCAACAGCAATTTCGTCATGAAAATTTGGTCAATCTGATTGATGTCATTAAACAGAAAAAGAAAATCAACTTAGTCTTTGAATTTATTGACCATACAATTTTAGATGAGCTACAGCATTACTCTCATGGACTGGATAATAGAAGACTTAAAAGGTATCTCTACCAGATTCTTCGAGCAATTGACTATCTTCACAGCAACAATGTAAGTACCCTATAAAAGTCATGGAGAAAAATCAAAGGTTGAAACAGAATAATCTCAATCTGAATAATTTATCACATCTTTTATTGACAGAGGTTTATCTGCCTTTAATAATTTCAGGATATTAAGCTCAACAGATGCTGTTTTCCCTATTACAGAAGTTCAAGAAAAACTATACCTGTTGTGTTTCTGTTAATCACCTGTTTAAAGTGCAGGAGAAAAATATCCTCTTATTTGCCTCATGTATATGGTCATGAATGTAAACGCCACATAATATGTTTTGTTTATGGACCAATCTGTTCATATTCTTCTTTCTGCCTTATTCCCATTATGCTCTATAATTTCAACATACTGTAGATACAGTAGATAAAGTTTGATATTCTTCATTACTGAGAATACATGGTGAAACAAGGCTTTTGTAAAAACTATTGCAGTTGTGAAAATACAAAACTATTGTACGGTTTTTAAAGAAGAAATATCATTAAGGTATAGGAGGCTGCAAAATTAGAAATCAAACAATGTCCATACTTTGGCAACAGCTGTGGCACTGATTTACAGCATGTGCTGTCACAGGATAGCACACTTATGAGTTCTGTTCATTGCAAATGCTCTTATCCAACTGCATTGCAAGCTTCAGGAACTAACACTGCATCAGAAAAATCCTGTGATAATGGCATAGCACATACCCACCTGATAGAAGTGCTGAGTATAGTTCTATACTTTCCTTTTAAGTAGACCCAGCTTAATTCAGTGGGACCTACTTCTGACTACACATGCATAGGCTTGAGCTGTCAAAACAGTTTCATTTTTCTCACCAATCAGTCTTTGGAATTATAGTTTTGTGAGGGAGGCAGGGATTTCTCATAGAGAATTCTCAGTACCCTCACCAAATGTCAGAGGAACATGAAATAAGCTTGATTTTAAATGTAGATATGACCATAGACTTTAGTTTTGTTCCAGGTACACTTTTCCTCAAATCCAGATTTTTTATAACACCAGAATAATTATTTTCTTACTATTCTCTGAGTTCCGTTTCTTCCTATAGCTTCTCTCCATATCTCAATTTAATTGTTTGATGGGCAAAACTTGCCTGTTTATTTCATAACTTTGGGTAATCAATTAATTTTCCTCCTTAAAAATAAACTTCTTTGTTCCTCAGCTGATTCTTAAACTTTTTTTGTTCAACTGATTTTGTTCTTAAGCTTTATTCTTATTTTGCCAGGTCATTCATCGTGATATCAAACCTGAGAATATTTTAGTTTCACAGACTGGAATTACTAAACTTTGTGATTTTGGATTTGCTCGGACCTTAGCAGCCCCTGGTGACATTTATACTGATTATGTGGCCACACGGTGGTACAGAGCTCCAGAGTTGGTATTAAAAGATACTACATATGGGAAGTATGTATTTTTTAAAATCCTGTTAATGAGCCTGCATTGGACAGCACTTTATCTTATATTTAGATATTCAAGAAGGTAACTGTTAAAGGATATTCACATGAAAGCACTGAAAAAACAAATTTATATAAACTTGGCTGCTGTGGGGCATAGCAGAGGGACATGAGATGGCGCCCTCACGCACATTTAAACAGCAACTCCTCTTTTGATGAAGGGTGAGATTGATAAAATATCCCATCTTAATAATTCACATAACATTGTTCATAATCCTACACAACTGTACATACAGAATTGGATTCAGGGACATGAAAAAACATTTACCTTTACATAAAATGTGTCTACTAGTGAAGGTTTCTGCTATTTGCTATATTTTGAAATTGAAGTAGTTGTGTTACACTGGGATTACATCCTAGTATTATTTTATGTTTACAAGTCTCATTGATTTCAGTGGAACATAGATGCACATAATAGGCATGATACAATTAGGCTAACAATTTCCCCAGGGCCAACTGCAGTGTCAGTCCCAGATTTTGGAGAGCACAAGGGCAAAATGCCCTGAGTAGGTCTAACTCTTTAGCACTGTCACCACAGACCATTTACTTGCCCCCCCCAATAGCCAGTCTGTACCACTATCCAGAAGGAGAGAGCAGGTTGAATAGAGGCTCCTTCTCCTTCCTCTTGCCACTGCTATTAAGCCTGGAGAAGGCAGGTAGCTGTAGCAGGAAGGAGAATGAGAAGGGGGCTCTGGGTGTCAGCAATAGTCTATTTCTGTGGTGTAGGCATTGGCAGACGTCTTACAATATCACAGCTTGACCAACTGTGAAAGTCCCCTGTGGTGTATAGGTATATTGAGAGACGTCTGAAAGAGATTCTGATTCCAGCCTTATGTAAAATTTATCCCAAGTTCCATTGAAATCATTGTGATGCATGCCAACACAATGCATTTAGGGCTGGGGTGCTGCCAGGCTGCAGTCCTCAAAGTACTTACTGGAAGTCAGCAGACTTCCGTGGACAATAAAATTTGACCGTTGTGCCCTTGGCTTTTGCTAATTGTCCATGTTTTTAGTTTCATTTTTTTGTACTCTTATAAACGTTTCAATTTTTTCTTTAAATTTCTTATTTAAAAGATTTAGCTGACTTTATTATAGCTCCAGTCTCTGTATTGTTGAGCACTTTGTTCATTTCCTGATCTTAGACCTGTGGACATCTGGGCTTTAGGTTGTATGATCATCGAGATGGCCACTGGCAACCCCTATCTACCCAGCAGCTCTGACCTAGACCTACTTCATAAAATTGTGACCAAAGTAGGTAGGTACTGCTGCAGATGATCTCTGCAGAAATCATTGTAGTAAAATGTTGTTCATTGCTACTCTAAGCTCAATAATTAGCCATTGTACATCTCTACACAAGGTTTGGGCTTTAAATCACCATTTCTTAATTAAGGGAAGTGGAGGAAATATATTATTCACCTAAAAAAAAAAGAAATCATTTGCCATCAAAAGCTACAGACAGAATTCTAGAAGGAATCTGCTCAACATAACCTTCTCTACAGTTCAGTAGTTCTGTCTGTGTTCTCCTTTGATGCAAAGAGCAGCTTTGGGTGAAGGAGGGAGCGTTTGGATCAGGAAACTGGCGTATGAGAAAATGTTAACTTCCCTCTCACTCCCGGTGGTGTAGCAGTGATCCATTTTGCCCCCCTCATCACCAGCCAAATTGCTTTTACATTTAGAGAAAATAAAATAAAAGATCCAGGAGATTTACTGCAGTCTTTTCTAGTTTGGTCCTCCTGAGCAGCTGAGCAGATTGCTCCTCCATTTCTCCATAAGTAAATTTACTTTACTTTACTTTACTTTACTTTACTTTACTAAATGTCTATACCTCCATAATCTAAGGATCACAGGGTAGTTTAGAATATTAAAAACACAAAAATATATAACATAGTAAGAAGCAAAAACAATATCCCCACAGTTTTATTAAATTAGAACACTTAGACCATGCACTTTTAAACACGTTTGTCTGAATTACTTATTTCAGTGGATCTTACTTGTACATTGCTTAGAGACCCATGGAGTCAAGTGCTACATACATTACGTCTTAAATAAATAACAATATAGTTTATATACTAGTGTTATGATTAGGTGTTGAGTTATAACATATCCTGAGTTCTCTAGTGGCAGTGTAGGAGGGATGGCCATGGATACGGGGTGGCTTTTAACATATTGACCCCTTTCTATTGGAATCATTTCAAGGGAAATTACCGTATTTTTCGCTCCATAGGACGCACTTTTTCCCCTCCAAAAATGAAGGGGAAATGTGTGTGCGTCCTATGGAGCGAATGCAGGCTTTCGCTGAAGCCTGGAGAGCGAGAGGAATCGGTGCGCACCGACCCCTCTCGCTCTCCAGGCTTCAGGAAGCTATCCGCAAGCCTTGCAAGCCCGGTGGGAGTTCCCGCGGGCTCACAAGGCTTGCAGGCAGCAGCCTGCAGCCCCGGCGAGTGTCCGCAAGCCTTGCGCGCCCGGCAGGAGGTCCCGCCGAGCGTGCGAGGCTTGGGGTGGCAGCTTGTCGCCCGAAGCACGGGAGCCCTCCGGAGGGCTCCCCGTGCTTGGGCGAGTGTCTGCAAGCCTTGCGCGCCCGGCAGGAGGTCCCGCCGAGCGCGCAAGGCTTGGGCGGCAGCCTGTAGCCCGGAGCACGGGAGCCCTCCGGAGGGCTCCCCGTGCTCGGGCGAGTGTCTGCAAGCCTTGCGCGCCCGGCGGGAGGTCCCGCCCGGCGCGCAAGGCTGGGGCTGCAGCTTGTCGCCGAGCACGGGGAGCCCTCCGGAGGGCTCCCGTGCTCGGGCGAGTGTCTGCAAGCCTTGCGCGCCCGGCGGGAGGTCCCGCCCGGCGCGTAAGGCTTGGGGCTGCAGCTTGTCGCCCGAAGCACGGGGAGCCCTCCGGAGGGCTCCCGTGCTTCGGGCGAGTGTCTGCAAGCCTCGCGCGCCCGGTGGGAGGTCCCGCCGGCGCGCGAGGCTTGGGGCTGCAGCTTGTCGCCCGAAGCACGGGAGCCCTCCGGAGGGCTCCCGTGCTCGGGCGAGTGTCTGCAGCCTTGCGCGCCCGGCGGGAGGTCCCGCCCGGCGCGCAAGGCTTGGGGCTGCAGCTTGTCGCCCGAAGCACGGGAGCCCTCCGGAGGGCTCCCGTGCTCGGGCGAGTGTCTGCAAGCCTTGCGCGCCCGGCGGGAGGTCCCGCCCGGCGCGTAAGGCTTGGGGCTGCAGCTTGTCGCCCGAAGCACGGGGAGCCCTCCGGAGGGCTCCCGTGCTCGGGCGAGTGTCTGCAGGCCTTGCGCGCCCGGCGGGAGGTCCCGCCCGGCGCGTAAGGCTTGGGGCTGCAGCTTGTCGCCCGAAGCACGGGAGCCCTCCGGAGGGCTCCCGTGCTTCGGGCGAGTGTCTGCAAGCCTCGCGCGCCCGGTGGGAGGTCCCGCCGGCGCGCGAGGCTTGGGAGGTAGCCTGCAGCCCGAAGCACGCGAGGCTTGGGGCGGCAGCCGCGGGGGGGGGATAATTTTTTTTATTCATTCCCCCCCCCAAAACGAGGTGCGTCCTATGGACCGGTGCGTCCTATAGAACGAAAAATACGGTATTATGCGAGGTCTAGAGGCTGGTGTAAAGTTATACTGTTGACGCAGGAGTCTCCATAGATCAGAGGTATACAATACATTATAAGTGTGGTCCTCCCTCCTGCTGCCTTGTCCTACACATGACTGCACTCCAGTTTAGACCCTCCACCAGTTTATTGTTGTGACAGAAAAGCCTTGAGGTGTTCTATGTTGCTGTGTATCTTGTGTTCCATTGATAGAGCAGAGCCCCTACTAAATCTTATACTCTCAGCTGGCATTACAGAAGTGTGGCCTTAGTATTCCAACTATTTTTTCCCTTTTGGAGCAAATATCTTGTTGTTGAAGTTTGGGAATGAAGAAAGATTGAAGTTTGTACATCGATTTGAGCTAATTCTGCTTTTTCCCGTTGCTTTCCATATTCCTAATAAATGTTAAATAATTTGACGAGATTAGGTCTGCATGCGGAGTTGCTAACCTATTCTGGGTTTGCAGGAACTGGTTGGAGTACAGTGGTACCTTGGGTTACAGACGCTTCAGGTTACAGATTCTGCTAACCCAGAAATAGTACCTCAGGTTAAGAACTTTGCTTCAGGGTGAGAACAGAAATCGCATGGCGGTGGCAGCGGGAGACTCCATTAGCTAAAGTGGTACCTCAGGTTAAGAACAGTTTCAGGTTAAGAACGGACCTCCAGAACGAATTAAGTACTTAACCCGAGGTACCACTGAATGTGCTTGCCTCACTTGAGCAAAGTAGAGGGACAAGAGGGCCGGGCTTTTTTACACAAGTGTTGTGTTGAATGAGTCTTAAGTACAATTACGTTAAGATCCTCACCAATATTATTTTAGGTTACAATCCTATATACATTTACCTTGAAGTAAGTCCTACTGAACTCTGTGGACCTTACTTCTGTATAGGATTGCACTGTTAGCATAAATGAATGTGTGTGAACGTTTTGTCAATTTCAGTCATAAGAAGCATGCTCTGTTTTTCAAAGTGTCAGGAGTGCACCTGAAATTCAATTGATTTTTGTCAACAAAATGTACCTTTTATCTGACACATTAATGCTTATTGGGTTTCTTTCTTTCTTTCAGGCAACTTGACACCTCACCTTCAGAATATTTTTATAAGGAGCCCAGTTTTTTCAGGGATGGTCCTTCCTGAAGTTCAGCACCCTAAAAGTGCAAGGAAAAAGTATCCCAAGCTCAGTGCCCTGGTTGCAGATATGGTTCATGTATGTCAGAAGAGGTCTGAGTATCAAGCTTACTGATGATCATTATTTGTAGCCTGGTATAGTTTGTGTTCTGTAATTGACATATCAGTGTTTCTGTGTATTTAGGATTGACCTACAGACCTGTGGTATCCCGACTCCCCACCCCCACACCCCTGCTTTCTCACTGACTCCCCCACTACAGATGATAAGTAGGCTATGTGGATTACTTGAAATCTCTGTCCAGGCCTCATTAATTATCACTTTTATACATTTCAGAATCTCTTGGTAGGACCATGAGGTTTCATTTTTCTAATTTCTCTCCTGCTGCTGTTAAAGAAAAGTTTATCCTAAAAGCTTAAATGCCAGAAGGTTAAGAAAGCCACACTTATTTACTGTATTTCACAGACAAAAATCTGTTTCATTTTAAACGATTGTTTTACCACACTGAAAAACTATTTTGTGCCTTTGAGTTCATTTGGTATGGGCAATGTGTGTGATGCTCTGTTTTTTGATGATTGAACCTACCATTCATTCTCTTATATTAGGAAATACTGTATTTTTCTGTATATAAGACGCCCCCATATATAAGACACCTCCTATTTTGGGGGACTCAAAATTAAGGAAGCACTACCCATGTTTAAGACGATTTTAAACTTAATTTTTGGGTAAAAAAACCTAGTCTTATACACAGAAAAATACGGTAACTGGTGTGGTTGTTTTTAAAAAACACACACCTTCAAATTTATTTAAATTCTTTGGCAGAAGTTTAAGAGCAAAATTTTAAGGCAACTTTTTGATAATGTCTTTATCAAAGAGAATGTTAAATTTCCTAAAGTATAAGCTGTTTTTCCTTATGACAACAACTAATTCCATGTTGCATGCTATTCTCTGGGTGTTATCCTAAATACATTATTTTCAAGTAGAATCTGTCCATTAGAATCTAAATTCAGGAAGAAAGAATCTTTATGAGAGTTTTTATGGTTGAAATAAGAGACCTAAGAACTTCATTCAGCAGTTTAATCCTCTGAAGGATTCTGTTGAATTTTAAATGGCTTATTACGTGTATCTACATTGCTAATGTAGGCAACCCTACAATGGAATCAGTTGGAGCTATGGGTATGCTTACAAATGTAAGTTCAGTAACTAAGGGCTTGTCCACACTTCTGTTAGTGGCATAATTTCTAGGCACAGTCTGTGATTTTTAGGCATGGGTATGAGAATGGTTCCCCACCACCACCACCACTGTCCCTGGGAAAACCCGCTGTTTATTGCTGAATTGGAACAAACTTCAGTTGGGTTGATACACAACAGTACTGCACTTGATGAGCCTTCTAAACCCCATGGTTGTTTTGTCTGGTAGTGGCTATGAAAGAACTGCCAAGGCCGCTGTGACTGGCCTGCAATGTGGCATCAGTTGTCTTATCCAAGCCTGGTCTTTGTCACTTGAAACATTGCTCAGAGCAATCACAGCAACACTGGCTTTTGTTGCATGGTCGCTGGGCCAAACAGTATCCTGGCTCCAAAATAGGGTTTGCAATGGCTCAGCTGTGGTAAATTGTACTGGAAGATCTAGTTGAAATTTTGAAGCATGCTATTATAGTCAAGCCCAATTCAATCAAAATGAGAACAACATCAGTGTAAATAAATCAGTCATCCTGTATTTTCTGGTGTCATCTTGAAAGATGTTCCATTAGGGTTCCTTGTAATATTTTAATTGCAAAATGCATTTTCCTATTCTTTTTCTCTGATGTGTTTCTGCAAACATGCTTCTAGGCAGTGTTTGTTTGTCAGATCTTAGCTTGAAGTCATTTTTTAATAGAGAATTATGTAAATGTTGAAGAAGGTGCCATTACAAATGTAACAAATCATTCATGACAACAGCAATGCCAGGCACGCTTGCAATGATGTGCATTGCACTGCTATTATTCATACATGAACAAAAGTCTAAAGTATTCGATTCACAAACATAACAAGACATGCCATGATAAAGTGTCCTTACCAGCAGTAATTTCTTTAGCACTGATAGGATTGGTTTTTAGAAAATGAAGGCTCTTATTTATTCTGTGAAAGGTTAATGAAGTCAAGGTTCTGTAAGTCACAGAATGATAGTATTCATGAACCAATAATGGCACTGGCCAAACATGGAGATGCTATGGCATCTTCAGTTTGTTACACAGTTCTGTTCCATATTAAACAATGCTGGCGATACAAGCAAAGTACAGTGGTACCTCGCAAGACGAATGCCTCGCAAGACAAAAAACTCGCTAGATGAAAGGGTTTTTTGTTTTTTGAGCTGCTTTGCAAGACGATTTTCCCTATGGGCTTGCTTCGCAAGACGGAAACGTCTTGCAAGTTTGTTTCCTTTGTCGTAAAACCGTTAATACAGTAGCGTCTTGACTTCGAGGAGCAACTCATAGAACAGCGGTGTGGTAGCCTTTTTTGAGGTTTTTAAAGACTTTGGTGATTTTTGAAGCTTTTCCAAAACTTTCCCGACACCGTGCTTTGCAAGACAAAAAAAATCGCAAGACGACAAAACTCGCGGAACGAATTAATTTCGTCTTGCGAGGCACCACTGTATTTTGTGCAAAGAAAGTGATAGCTATGTTGCTCATTGGATGCCTTTGTGTTAAACTTACAAAAGTATTGGACTGAGTCCATTAAGTTATATTTCTGCTCAAAAGCACAATAAAGATTAAGGAATAAAACTTTGATTTGCCATAGCATCATCCCAAAACAGCTACTCCTGCCTGAACAGTGTGCTATGTGGGCCAATTATATAATGTTAGGCAACATTTGCTCCTTGATAAATATGGAGCAGCTGGCTGATGGGCAGCATTGCTCCAGAAAAATAGGCTTGCATGCTCCTCACTTCTCTGAGGAATCAGAAGTTCCAAGGACAGTTTCATTTTCTTTGGAAGAGAGCCCTGGAAACTTACACTGTCCTTGTGATAGCTGTTGTATTTACAAAGGTGCAAGCTGAGCACGTGGAAGAGGTATGTCACTCTCAATGACAGGCAGGAAGCCTGGTGTTCTTGCTTGACATCCCCAAAACAACTTTAGGCAAACTCGCTGTCTCCCAGGCTGCTTCCTTCCAGTCCAGCTAACTACAGAGTGCTCATCCTTCTCCCCCAACTCAAAACTGCAGATCCCTTTCCCGCCAGGCTACCCCCCTGTTGAGCACTGACCATAGACCCCCTTCCTTGCAGGTAAATTGTCCACCGGGAGAGGGAACCCTCCTAATCATTACTTTTCATTGGGGATCTGCCCTCACCACTTGCAAGCAAACAGCTTAACAAAGAATAAATATGAATTAGCAAGGTATAAATATGAATTAGCTGCTCCGTGAGCTGCATACTTTTAGATATTAATTCATTCAGAGCAACACCTTTGTAAACAGAGAGCTGGCACATTTTGTTGTTTTAATTTCCAGGGTCCTGGCAACCAGATCGATTTTCCAATTTCCATTAATTGTATTCACTCTTCTTTTAAAAAGCTCAAAGTAGCTTTTGTGTGCACAAAGTATTTTTCTGTCATGGAAGAAGATGAGAAGCTTCTGCTAGATTTTTATTTTTTTTTTAAAGCATGAGTCTTATTCAGTTCAAAGCATACCACGATTTCATTTTAATCTTGGTGGTACAGTTTTTCCTGTACAAAGGCAATGGCATGATAGCCACTCCATCCTTCAGTTTTGCTGGTGCTGTGTCACTCCCATCCATCTGACAATCTGGGTGATGTCAGGTGTCCAGTGATTCATATACAGTAGAAGACTCAAGGAAAAGAGGGAGAAGCCTTAAGAGGACTCTCCACACTTTTTCTTGACTTAGAGCCAAATTACATATTATGACAAATAAATCACTAGGGAAGGTTGTCAGGTTTGGGGTTTTTTTAATGGTGTTGGGGATTTTTTCATTGGGACCTCAGCACATGAGGATGGGAGGTTTAATCCTTCCATCCCTAGCTATGATAGTGATAAAAATTAACTGCTCCGTACAGCTATTAGTCCTGAAAAAGCTCTAATTGGCACCAATGGGAGCTTCCACTCCCCTGCACAATAGCACTGTGAGGGGGACGTTTTGGTAGCTCACCTTTCATACGTATGGATACCATAGCATGATACATCATAAAATAAATCACACAACAAATTTATACGCAAAAATAGCACTCAAAATCCCAGTGAAAGTACTATTGCATTTTTCTAGAAAGAACATATTGTGCATTGGGTCCAAAAGAAGTGTCTCCCTTCTGTATGTTCTGCGATCCTGATGAAATCTTCCTGCATTGCATCAACTATTAATTTGATTAAAGGCCAGCATGCTTCCTTTTGATGCAGTAATCATAACTACTTCTTTGGCCTTTTGTTTTAACTTTCATGTAAGCTGCATTCTTTACATGGTTATTATTCTGTTATATTGCTTTCACAGGCACTATCCAATAAATGCTCACAGCCCTTCCAAATAAAGTTCAGACAGCATTCCAAAACTCAATGGTTCTGCTAGCTGGGGGAAGCATTGCGTTTTTCCAAAAATAACATGCTGTGTTGGGAAAATTCAAGTTATGTTTCCTGTAGGCAGAATGGCTGGATCCCATGTAATACAGTAAATAATCAGTGGTTATATAGTTCTTTTGCTATAAAAGGGGTCTGGGTACCTGAAGTACCACATTATTGGAAGAGGGGAGATTTCAAAGATCAGAAAAAATATATTTATCTTTTATTTTAAGTACTATGAAACAAAATTTCTCAACTGGAATTTCAGCTCTATTTTTACAGTAATCAAGAGAGATTTATTTGCTACAGTAATAAAATGGCAAAATGACTGCATGTAGAAAATATGCTAATATTCCTTAAAATTGTTAAATAACAATATCAATATGCTTTCCTTTTTTGTTTATTTCACTTATTAATAAATAATAAATGTTATATAGTACACATTTTATTATACACATTTCCCCCCTGGATAATATTATATAAGCTTTTAGAAATGCTGCCTTCTAAAATAATTGTTCCATTATTTTTTAGGCCTGCTTACAAATGGATCCTGCAGATAGGATATCATCTGCTGATTTGTTACAGCATGACTATTTTACCAGAGATGGGTTTGTTGAAAAGTAAGTGACATGACCTCAGGCTTTGGATTTTTCTATGAGAGCCTTTCAAGATGATTGACATTTTTCATGACAAATACATGCAAATAATTTGTTAGGCGTGAGGGAGGAATCAAAACGTCTCCACCTATAGTAATGCTTCTATTGGTGAGATACTGCATATTCCCTATGCTCAAATACTTACTTTTTGGGAAACCAGATTTTCTTACTAGGTTTGAAATGCAAAATACTGCCGTTTCAAATGTAACTACAGTGGTGCCTCGCAAGACGAAATTAATCCGTTCCGCGAGTGTCTTCATCTAGCGGTTTTTTCGTCTTGCGAAGCAACCCTATTAGCGGATTAGCGCTATTAGCGGTTTAGCGGCTATTAAAGGCTTAGCGGCTTAGCTGCTAAAAGGCTATTAGCGGCTTAGCGGCTTAGAAATAGGGGGGGGGAAAGTGAAAAAAAATCTCAAGACTCGCAAGACATTTTCGTCTTGCGAATCAAGCCCATAGGGAAATTCGTCCTGCGAAGCGCATCGAAAAACAGAAAACCCTTTCGTCTAGCGGGTTTTCCGTCTTGCGAGGCATTCGTCTTGCGGGGCACCACTGTACTGTGTGATTGTAACTGTTCAAATGTCTCAACACCATGTTGGCCAGTGCTTGAGATGTGACTGATGGCTCCTGCATTAACCAGGAAGAATTGTGAATACAGCGGTACCTCATGTTACATACCGTTCCCCTTACGAATGCTGCAGGTTACGCGCTAACCTGGAAGTAGATGCCCCTTGTTGCAACCTTTGCCCCGGGATGTGAGTGGAAGTCGTGCTCCAGTGGCGTGGCAGCAGCAGGAGGCGCCATTAGAGAAAGCACGCCTCATGTTACAAGCGATTTCCTGTTATTAATGGACCTCCGGAACGGATTAAGTACGTAACACGAGGTACCACTGTATACATTAAAAAGCTCTTAACAACGCTGTGACGATGTTCAGGAGTGCAAATGATTTTGCAAAACATAGGAGCCAATCTGATCCGATCTTCTAGGAGCCAGCTTGGAAGGAAGATGAGATTGATGTGTCAACTCACCATCAAGTAGAAGTCCTGCTCTGGTTTGTCTCCACCATCCTTTTTCCAGGCTATGCTTAACTGAAAGGTATCAGGGCTCAAACTAACCTGAAAATCACAGCCTCAGAATTGGAGTCCCTTCATCCAAAGAGTGACTCCTACTTCCATTTAGGAACCACGGCTGCAATCTTAATCCCATTTACCTGGGTGTAAGATCCATTGAATTCATTAGGACTTCTGCCGAGACATGGGTAGGAATGTGGTGTAACACAGTAGGAGGAGAAAGCCAACTCTCATACACATCAGCACACATGGGAGAAACTTGCTACCTAAGCTCTTCAGTCAGCTGGGTGCCAGGAGCAATATTTAGGCACAGGGCAGCTTGGGGGGCCTGTGTTTTTGCACATCGGATGCTGTGTAAATTGAATTTAAGTTTCTGAAAATTAACTACTGCTACAAAAAAAGCCCCCACTATGTACTGCAGCTGTGTCTCTGAATGATCAAAGCTCATTAGAATCTCCATCATTAAAAGATAAATGCTCACAAGTGGGGTAGTGTAAATCACCTTTTGAGAAGGGCAACGGGATGCACAGATTTACTGTCACCTACTTCAGCAAGTGGCTGACACTTTAAAGCCTGACATGGTCAGAATCTATTCAGAGGTAGGGATGTTGTGCAGAACACACACATCCTAAGTGCTTGTATATTCTTGGCTCCAGGTGGCAATTTGTGTGTTTTTTGGGGGGTGGGGGAGAGCCAGAAGGACAATCCATGTGTAGAAGGCTGTTTCCAATTCATACATCTGACTCATGGATTTGGACCTTAAGGTTGCAATTCTAAGGACATGTAGTTTGAAATAAATTCCATTCATATCAATAGGACTTTAGTACATGTATTTTTAGATCATTCTGTGTTATGATTTTCAGCTAAATGGACAATCAGTCACTATGATACTGTTTTTCTTGACTTAACCGTCTTGTCAAGCATTAGGCAAAAAAGAACAAATTTGTTGCAAATCTTTCTAGGCATTTGTTCTGTTTTCTCAAACCTCAAAGGGGCTTTGTTAAAGTTCCATGTCAAGAAAGAATGCTTGATCTTTAGAATACAATAAATAGACCGGTGCATAATTTATGAAGGCTGAAATAGAACTTGAAAGTTGGAATATGGTTTGCAATGAGAAATAAACATTTGACATGGAACACAATGCACTTATAAGCAAGTGGTCTTTAAAGTATTTGCCTTTAGGGCCACAGCTAAGATGTAGAACAGATGTGTTGTGGTTGGCATGTTTTCTAGTTCTGCTAAATATATTCCAGAAGGGCAGTTGTGTTAATCCGTTGCAGCAAAAACAACGGAGTCTTGTGGGACCCTAAAGGCTAGCAAATGTATTGCAAACCGGCATAAGCTTTTGTGGACCATAGTGAGCATGGTTGGCATTCTGCGTAGGATAAACAGGTTGGTGTCTTTGAAAGATAGTAAATAGGCAGACCAGATAACTAAAATGGCAATATGGAAAAGCCAGTGGAGGGATATTTCAGACCCAGGCCATTCTGTGATGGTTCTTAAGGTAGTCATCATTGAACAAAGGAACTTCAAAGGAAGACTGCAACATGAAACGGTTGAATCATAATACATCAAGCAATTCAGTGGTATCAGTTGTGGATTGAATCAGCGTAAAGGATTTTAACACATGTGTTAATTGGCTTCCCAATGCCTGGATTAGCAACTACTTTTTGTGAATGACAACTCATAATATAATTTACCCATAATCTGTACTTTTAAGTATTTCCTTTCCTTTCCACCTGTTTACACTCCCTCCCCATTTGAATCAAACATATACCTGCTACCTGGGATACAACTTCAGGTACCTGATGAAGTAGGCTGTAGTCCAAAAAACCTTATGCCATAATAAATGTGTTGTTGTGAAGATGCCGTAAGACTCTTTGTTGCTGTTCTTGCTACAGGAGACTAGCATGACTACTCCTCTAGAATTTGTTTGTATACGCTTGTTGATATAAATGCACTTTCCATTATCAGATTCTTACCAGAATTGAAATCCAAATTACTACAAGAAGCAAAGTTGAATTTTCTTTCAAAATTCAGAGACAATAATAAAGAGATGGATGAAAAAAGAACAGTTCACATTAACGTGTCTCAGAGTGGCCCAGTTATTGTGAAAGTAAGAATGATTACTTTTTTTAGAATGTTTATTATTATTTTACATGTAGCAAAAACTATAGGCTAGCAATATGCCACCCCACACTGAGTAGTTAGGAGAGCTGCCATAGATACCTACAGGTATACAATTATTATTCCCCATTAGTTACTTGCTTATCATTTTGTACATATATTAGGTTCCCAGATCCCACTAGTATAAACAGAATAAACTAGTGTAAACAGAATAAACCTGCCTAATGTACACAGGTTGCATAATTTGATTTGACTTGAGAATTTTAGCTTACTCTGGGAATTCAGTCATATTATTAAATGAAAGGTCAATGTGATACTTATTCACAACAGTTTCAGCCCATGCCAGTTGCATTGCAGAGGTGGACTTTGAGCTTCTCAAAGTGGTGCCTGTGCAACACCAACATTTGGCACCCTCATGCCTTCTGTTGTTCATTATTTTTGGGGTGCCCCTTGCAACACCCTCTCAGCTCAGCACCCAGTGTGGGTGAACTGGTCACACTCCCCTGAATCTGCCTCTGTTGCATTGTTTGTCAGCCACACCTGACTTTTAGCAGAGCTGCCATAGGCTGAATGAGTTATATGTTATATAGCCGCCCTGAGCCTGGCCTTGGCTGGGGAGGGCGGGGTATAAATAAAATATATTATTATTATTATTATTATTATTATTATTATGCTGGTCATGTGATTGTTGCCTTCACGATTGAGATGTGTTGAATTAAGATAGTTGGTGTCCCAAAGAAGGAAAAAAGAGGACATGAGTCTTGTTATGGTAACAAAGTCTGAGAAGCACTTATTGGTCTGTTTTATAATATTTGTATTTTCAGGGCTATGAACAGTGAGAGAAATTAAGGAATGGTTTGCAATTTTAAGTAGGCCACAGAATTAATGACTGTTCTATTATGTTGAAACTGTGAGAATGGAGAAAATTCCACAACAGTGCAGCATTACTTTGAATACTAATTACTAATAAGCAAATTCAAGATCATTTTTAGATTGTGTTCTAGTATTTCATAAACATTTTACTATTGGCTCACTCAGGATTTTTCTCTGTGTCCATGATCCACATGTCACTTCCAGGATTTGACCCAGAAAATGAAACTGTTGTTCACTTTTGATTGCCTGACCGTTTGCCTACCAAAGCTACTAATCTATAGTTGGTGGATTGGGGAATTATGTAGGGATTATACATCTTTTCCTGTTGAATGTATCAAAGAAGAAATTCAAAGTGATTCACATTCTGAAATGAATTGGACACTACTGTTTTTCTTTCAACTCCATGGATCTCAACTTCCAACTTTTTCTATAGGATCAGAATGTAGGTTAATAGAAGGAATTGCTTAACAGTTGTGTGTATTACCTGTTTTAGGAAATTGAAAAGGACAAAAAACCAAAGGAGATGAAGGTCAAAGGGATCAAAATGAAAGGGGTGAAATCTGAAATCTCAGAGCTGAAAAGGAATGAACAAGAAGACGCCGTTTCGCAGTGGGCTGCTCTGTCTCAGAATGCTCTAAACCTTCCTCATGAAAACAAACTGACAGGCAATGATGGCACTGGTCTGGCAGCCGGCACTGACGCTGGTGGGACAAAGGAGGATTCTCCACAGACACCCACTATGACAATGCCACGCATCAACCCAAACTGTGGAAATCTTACTGCAAATTTCAATTCACACTTCCTGTGCCCTAATTCAAGGTATGTAATGCAAAAGTGAATGCAGGTGGGGAATTGGAATGCTTGGCAAAGATCAATTTTTGCTCAAAGTTTTAAAAAGAAACAGTTTAACTGCTGAATTTAGATAAGCTATGTGTGATTTCTTATCGAGGAGCTATCCCTGCCACAGCGTATGGGGTGGGTGGGGAGATATTAAATATGGAACATGCTTAATAAAAAATAAAAATCTAATGACATGAGTTCTTAGTTGAGAATGAATTTGTTACTTCGTTTATCTGCTTGTTTATTAGATTACCTGAAAAAGCAAAGAAAAGACGAAGTCCTTGGCCACAAGTGTCACAAATAGGTCCAAATAACCGTCAAGAAGAAGGGACTATATCTCAAGTAAGTGTACAGTTTTAAAGATCAATTTGGTTCATCTGGTTATGTCTTTGAAGTATATTTTTAAGCCAATGGTTGCAATTCAGAGATTGATTGACATGCCTAAGGGCCAAATTTGATGCAAAAATAGCAGGCTCTTTCTTTAAACCCACTTGAGCCTGCCAGGTTGTATATAAAGCAGGGAGTTTTACTTTTTTATCAGCAAGGGTTCAGACATAGAGTTGCTAAACAGTCCCCCTGCATTAACACTTACCTCTCTGAAGTCCCTACCTACATGCTTTTCTACTTAGCCCAGCTTTGCTATGAGAAATGAGCTTCCGTTTCACCCATGGGCCCCTTTTGCACTCAGAATCAGCCTTCCACCTCTGCACACTTGCTGGTATTACTAGAAAAGCATTGAGCACTTGTTGAAAAAATAGCACTATATGTGCAGGCTGACATTCATACCTTCCTAGCTTCTGGACCACAGCTGTTAAGCTTCAAGTGACTAGACTTACTCCCCCCCAAGAGCTATACATAGGTTTTCCCTTTGTTGGCGCTTGCACCCAGGGAAAAGTGAAGGAAGAAGGAAGCTTTAGGCTGAGGACACGGGTGGCGCTGCGGGTTATACCACAGAGCTTAGGACTTGCCGATCAGAAGGTCGGCGGTTCAAATCTCCGCGACGGGGTGAGCTCCCGTTGCTCAGTTCTTGCTTCTGCCAACCTAGCAGTTTGAAAGCACGTCAAAGTGCAAGTAGATAAATAGGTACCGCTCCAGCGGGAAGGTAAACGGCGTTTCCATGCGCTGCTCTGGTTCGCCAGAAGTGGCTTAGTCATGCTGATCACATGACCCGGAAGCTGTACGCCGACTCCCTCGGCCAATAAAGCGAGGCGAGCGCCGCAACCCCAGAGTCGGACACGACTGGACCTAATGGTCAGGGGTCCCTTTACCTTTACCTTTATGCAAGTAGCAAGATTTTCTGTGAAGGCTGGCTGTATTTTGACCAAAGATCACCCTCAGGGCAAAGGATCTCCTTGTCAAGTTAAAACAACTGACTCACGTATTTTGGAACCTTCTTCTAAGCACTAGCATTGCACAACTGTTCCTTCACTCTCCTTTTGTTTTGCTTTTTTTAGTGCTGCTTTTGTCCTCTGCTTTTGCTGTATTATTATTTTATTTATATGGCTACTTACCCCTGAAGGTCTCAAGGTGACTTACATAGCAAAAAATATGCCTTAAAAAACATACAACGCTAATAGTGCTCACGCTAAACATCTCCTACCCCACAAGTTCATATCTCCCACCATAAAATTCTCACAAGTGATCACTGTGAAACAGAAAGCAATGAAAAACCATATATTGAGGAAGCAGAAGACAAATATCAACATTCAAACGCTTGAGTGTACAAAAAAAGTATTAACCTGGCACTGAAAATTTGCTAGACCTCCCTGTAGAAAAAGTGTTTTCTCATGTAAGCCTTAGAAGGAATACTTGGAGGAGGATCTCCAAGGACAACCTGAGACTTGATGCAGATTTAAAAAGAAAAAGGTGCTCTATAATGCAGTCTGGTCCTGGGCTGTATAAAGCTTTACAGGCTAAAATGAGCACTTTGAATTGGGCCTGTAAAGCAACCTAGAAGTCAGTGCAGACAGACAAGCATGGGTATTATATACTTGAACCTCCTGGTCCCAATTGTAAGTCTGGCCACTGAATTCTACATCAGCTGAAATTTCCAAGTTCTCAAAGGCAGATGTCAGCTCCTGATCGTAAGCAGCTATGGCACTAATTGGACAGGGAGCAAAAAGATGCTCAGCTCCTAGTACATTACAGCATCAATCGGTAAGCTGGCTTGCAAGTGTACACAAGGATGAGGCTAGTGACTACAGTCACCGAACTGCCTGTTTGCAAGTGGCAATGGATGCTGGAGGGGTGGGGCATCCAAGTCATTAGCCCCAGAGATCTCTGCTGGACTTCATGGGCCATAGCAAATGTCCCAGTATTCTGGGTACTGGGTCTGTTGTATAATGTATAATGTTCACAAGGTGGTGTGGAATTCAGTCCAGATACCTCTACTACTGTTGCTCAAGGGAGTCTTCAGCAGATAAGAGAGCTGTCATGCCTCCTTGGTAGATGTTGTAAACCGAACAGGTGATTTAACTGTCCATGGAAATAAACAAATATGTTTGTTGCTGGATGCTGCCAGCTACTAAGGAAAAAGACCTGTTGATTTTGTCTGAAAGATGCAATTTCTAATAGTTCTTCTAGCCCATAATAGTGATTTATTCCTGCCTGGTGATATAAGCTTCCTCAAAAGAGAGACTTTAAAGATTATTAGTACTTTGTGTCAAGGTCAGAATCAACTACATAAAGGCATAGATAAGTTGAAACTGTAGCACAGATGTTATCTTGGATACATACTGATTCCATTTTTAGAACCAAATAGAGAAGGTCTCTCTGTATGAAAGAGCTGCTCAGATTGATCAAATGGTCACAATAAACAGAAAGAAACGCAATATTTCAAGATGTGAGAAGAAGGACATTCACTTCCCAGAGCTAACCACGGGGCAACAGAAAGAACTGAAAGGAATGGAAAGTATGCTTGCTATCTTCTATAGATTTTTTTCAGATAAATTGTAAGGCTCAGATGAGTTAATCTGAAATGAAACTTAAATATCTATATATAAGATTTGTGGAACATGCTGCAGAATTGTGCAGGTTTTTTTAAGGCTTTCTTTTGATGAGTCAGTTGGAGCAGATTCCTTCCTTTTCAAATCAAAAGCTGCATGCAAATAGAACTAAAAACAGAAATCAGCTCAGGGCTGGAATGTATGTAAATGCTGATTTTTTTTATTTATTGGTATTAGAAAGGGCAGTGAATTAAAACATCCCCTTCCCAGTACTGCTGCTTCATAAAAAGAGACCCTTACTTGGAGCTGCTTTTAAGTAAATATTTTAAAAGTTGAAAAATACTGTCATGGATCTTCTGTATAGATTTTTCTTTGAATAACAGAACCCCCACCCCACATATCGCAAACTGCTTTTGAACACAACACACACAAAATTTCAAAATTTTGCCATGTAGCTTGAGGTGAGAGGGGAAATGACTTCCATTTCATAAAACTAAGGCTAAGGTTCCTTGGGCCGACAGAACTAATTTCAGAGTTCCTTGAATTATGGCTGCTGTATTATGGTTCTGTATTTGAAGTGATTAAAAAGGTTGAGTGGTGGTGGCAAGTGTGCAGTTGAAGTGGTGGGTGGGCATAGCTGAATGTGGGCATGGTGGGCATGGCCTCCGAGAATTGTGCTCGCAGCTGCAGAAATTTATAAAAATGAAGCAAAGGAACCTCTTCCCAACACCACTTGTTAAACTGAGGGGTGGGTACTCCATTGCCCCACAAACTTACCAGTTGTCACCATTAAGAGGTTTTTTTTCTTTTTTAAAAAAATGTGGAACCCAGAGAAAGGCTGGGAAAATGAAGTTGATGGTATGCATGACCGCAGCCGGTTCAGCATATTACTGAACATTATTATTATTTATTATACCCTGCCTTTTCCCACTTTTCGGGACTCAAAACATACAATCAAAACAAAAACTTTCATCTATATAAATAAAATCTCAGAATAGCACAGCAGGACCCCCCTCATTAAAAGCAATCAGTTCCCCAAAGCATGTTGGAACAAGAAGGTCTTACCTGCTAGCAGAAGGACAAGGAGGGAGCCCGTTTAACTTCTCTAGGGAAGGAGTTCTAGAGTCTGGGAGCAGCATGAGTGCCTGCCTGCCTGCCTGCCTGCCACTGTGAATCTGTGTTTTTGTAAAAAGCCGGGGTCTGATGCCCATCTCTGGTGGTCATTTGTGGGGTTTGTGGACTACAGGGCCCCAGAGGGTGTCCCAAAGTCAAGAACTAAAAGCACCACTGAATGAAGTGGCGGGGGGATTAGTGCTCAAATATTTTCCTATTACCCCATGTTCAGCAGAAAAATGCCCCCTTCAGTTGGTTTTTCCCATGTGGGAGGTCACAGAATTGTGTTCACAAGAATCTGAATTTAAAAATGAAAGCTTCCAGGATATAATAAGCTCTAAAGCCAAAAATAACTAGTTATCTTTCATTTAAAAAAATAAATCAATTAAATCATGGTTTTCTTTGTTTCCTTATCTAGTGGATTGTACATTTTTTATAATTCAAACTAGAAAAGTATACAAATCTAGAAATAATTAGGTATTTGTTTGTAAAAGTTAAACAGGTAAGAGTGCTGAAGAGGGAGTCAAAGAAATCTGAAGTATCTAAAATACCATCTTTACTAAATGTGGATCAGAATCGTGAAAAACTTGAGGTAAATTCAAATTTCTTAGCCAGCATAAAAACATGGATTCTGTAACTGAACAGTGAGTTAAGTGTGCCTATGCCAGTTTAAAATAATGGAATTAAAGATAGCTAACTCTCTGTTGAATTGTAGTAAAAGAGTTTGTCAATATTTGGACAAGGTACAAATATTCTTGGACTTAGCTAAAGTATATACTTACTGAGTTGTTGAAAATTAGAGAATACATGTAATATTTGCATTCTTTTGTCAGTCATTTACAAGTAAATATAATGCATAATTGCATTCAATGGGAACATTTCCTAGATATCTGCTAAAAAGCTGCTGAACTCTTTTTGAAATATTGATTGTATGTTTAAAAATGCTTTGCCTTTTTATTTGGAGGGAGATAGTTTTAATTTGATGAAAAAGTGAGTTTTCACTAATTGGCTTCTGTCAACTAACCTTATTTTTTAATTTAATATTTAGAACACAGGAAATGCAGGAAATACACCAAATGAAAACTAGCCAAGTTTGCCCGTGAAACAGCATGCATCTTGGGAAGATGTACAATGTCTGGAGGAGTAAGACACTTGCTTTTCAAAAAAACTTTTCATTAAAAAAGTTTCATGAATAACTCTGCATACCATGTGTAGATCCTCTAATAAAGTATTTTGAAATGTGATGGTCACAAAAACATTCATTTTTACAATATACTGTATAGTATTTTTAAGGCGGGGGGGCTCACCAGTGTGGTGCCTATAGGTACAATGGGACCTTTGAGGTCTTCCGCTGGTGCCCATGAAGCTTCTGCCCCTTGGTCATGAGACAATTGGGTGGTTACCTTTTTATCCCTTGTAAAGCATATAGAACTGAAGGAGGAAGTTGGAAGAGTGACACTCTTTCCCATTTCCTCTTTCTGCTCTATGTGCTTCTGAAGGATCAGAATAAATATACTGAATTGGACTTTTACCCAGTTCCCTTGGAAAAAATGTGTGTGCACTTTCTCTCTCTTTTGTGAGTGGTGGGCAGAGGCAGATTTAGGATAGTGTGAATGGGCTTAGTGCCCAGTGTGGGGAAACAAGGGGGACGACGCAGCTATGACATAGTATACATGCAGAATGGAAGGTCAGAGGTGGGGGTGTTGAATTTTGGCCTTGCAGAGGGCGCTGCTGGAATTTGAAAGACCAAAGTCCACCCCTGTCCTCCCACTGTTGAGGGAGAAGAACCATTGTTCCACTTGCACAAAGCTAACCTTGCTATTGTATTGGGATAAGGATATTGTTAGACCTGGCAAGCACTACTAAGGCCCAAAGAAAACTAAGAACAAGAATTTGGCTTGTGGAACAGCTCTAGCTAGCTTTTGAGTCTACCTGGTTTGCTTTGAGTCCACCTGCTGGAAAAAAGCAGGATATCATCTTTTATAAAATTAAATATTACCGTAGCTGCTTCTAGCAGCAAGAGATGACTGTCTCAGGGAGAAAACAAGTGGATAATTTCCTCAAACAGTTGCTTCCTAATTTTTTGAGATAAATCATTGGGTGCTGGAGAAAGACAGCTTTCATCATAGGCTCCAAATTCTAGCTGGGCTCTTTCTTGTCCCTGATTGTTCACTAGGTGCAGAACTGAAGCAGAGCTCACTTATTTGCTTGTAGCTTTCTGAAGTCTGGTTTGGCTGGTATCACACAGGTACTACCTATTTCTCTGCCAAAATACTGATGCTTGTGCCCCTTTTGAGAAGTGCTACTCAGAGAACTTCCTGCTTTCCGGAAACAACTTCTGGCCCTTGCTAACGTGTGTGTGTGTGGGTGTGTGCTGGTGGTGGGGTAAGGAACTTAATACAAGTATTGTGTTTTACAGCTCATCTAGGAGCCCAAATTTACTGGGGGTCTCAGCAAAGCACTTAATAAGCTTTCCCCAGCAGATCAACGCACATACAAAACTTAGATTTTAATAACAATTTCCCCTTCAGCACTGGCCCCATAGCCAAAACTCATACTATATTCTGAGAATCACAAGCCTTGGGCCAAGGCCTTGATGATCTGTTAACCTGCCATAGTCGAAACAGTCACAATTAAAATAAACAGTGCAGGGCCAAGTATAGTTAATGTTGACCATTTTGGTGGACCACCTGAATGGAGCTTGTGAATCACTAGTGGTCCACAAGTCACAATTTGTGAAGGCTCTGATCTATGAGGACAGACGCTATCTTGTCCTTTGCCTGGAGTGGCAAAGTGTTGGGATGGCTCTGGTCTTTTTTATATTGAGGGGACAGGTGATATTCAGAAATTCCATCCTCTTCTGGCAAACTGAAATGGTATAGTAGTACACTATGTCACTTCAGGATTCTACATGGGTAGATCAGGCTTAACTGGGTGTTGAAAAGTGAAAAAGGTAGCCTAGTTGGAACCAATTCTGCCAGAAAAGGGTAGCTGAAAGCAAATTGCAAAATGTGTTACCCATGTGGAAGGAAGCTGGAACAGGAGAAGGGACCAGCAGAAGACTGGGAAGCTGCCTGCCTGTCCCCATATTCTTTAATGGAAGTCTGGCAGTTTTACCTCCCCCTAGATGACATCATCAGGACCACTTTGGAACTCTATTCAGTACAGTGTCAGTGGGATTTCAATGGATTTGAACTACCCTGTTATTTTGAAAGGACGCACTTGCTATATTGCTAGATGTCTGGAAGCCATTGTGCCAAAGCAAGTGGGAGGAATAGTGTGAGCTGGAATTGTTTTTTTGAACAGCATGGTTATTAAAGACCAGCTGGCACAACAGGAATTATGAGGCACATTCGAAAAGCCCTAGTTTATTTTTCTCATATCAGTTAGTACTTACTCTGCTAAACTGCTTGTATTTTCCAGGTCAGAGAAGCTTTCGGAAACATGTTAATCCAACAAATAGTGAATTAATGCAGCCCCCCCCCCCACTTTATGGTTTTCTCACTGCTTATGTTTTTTCATTCCCTCCCTCCTCAAAGTGTTGATAGAGAACAGTAAACATGAGGCAGTGAATTGTTCTATCTTTATATGTTGCAGTCTTTTAAAAGTCTGAGTGTATAAAGTAATTTTAGCTTAGCTCATTAGATGTTTCAGAGCCTATCTTGACTGCACATATCATGGACATTAAACTGAATTTCTCTGGGTGTTCAATTGGGAACCTTTTTATAGGAGTAGGAGAGTATAGTCCCATTGTTGCTGTTCGTAATGCATGGTGGATTAGCAACATAAAATCTAAAAAAGAACACCCAAACCACACCACACTAATTATAGAAAGGCCATAAGCAGAGCATGAATGTAGCAGCCCTCTCCGTCTTGTGCTCCTCAGCAACTGGTATTCAGAGGTATATTTTACACAAGTGATCTCCATTCCCTTGGTTTTACAATACTGTACTGCCTTACTGGTTACGTAGGGATAATTCTTTTTTTTAAGAAAGCAGACACTGAAGTCTTACGAAATCTCCTGCAAGTGAAGCACACAGGAGTGGAAGAACTTCAAAATTATGAAAAAGAAAGGGCTGCAAAGTGGAACGGGCTCAATAATTCACGAAAAATTAACAAAGCAAGATGACACTTTGAATTACATTCCACAGGAAGCCCAGAGCAACATCTTCCAGTGGTGAGGACGTCTTGAGGCCAAAGTCAAGTACGCTTTGAATGTAGTAAATTCAGAAAAGTGGTATACAGTTGCTGGAGCTATCTACTGCAGCCAATCAAACACAATGACAATATGCATGGTAGAGTTATCATTTGTAATATTTTTATTGAATCTGGATGATAAGAAATGACACAGAAAGATAGCTAGAGCAAAGCCCATTCATTTTTATGGTCTTGTCCTATGCTTTTCTGGCATGTAAGCTTTTCTACAGCAGGCATCAGCAAGACATACTGAGCTGGTGGACAAGGAGCAAGACTTTCTAAACTCTACATGTGAAAATAATGAATATACACTATGTATAAAACATACAACTTCTATCTAGCAAGTACACTTCTATTGTAGGTAACAATTGTTGAAGGCAAACCATCATGTAATGAGTCACTCATATGCAACGGAATGCAGGGATAGGGACATTCTCTCTTCACAAATATGAACCAGCCCTCTGATTACAGGTAGGGATGCATGGTTTACCACATTTCTGCAGCACTTTGTTAATTTTGTTTTTTAAAATCCTCATTAAAATTATTCAGCATTTTAGTATGACTTTCTCCCAATAAACACCTTTTTGTATGCAGTTTTGACTAATGTACACGCTTTTGCAAGCAATTTCTCCTAATATAATGCATGCCTGTATATTATTTTTCACTGTCTTCTGTTTTACGCACATTTCCCCCCAATGCACACATTTTTGAAAACATTCTTCGGTTGGAGAACTGCACAGCAAATTTCAAAGGGTGTCTGGGTTTCAGTTCCCAGATTGTTTCGGAAAGTCCAAATTCGATAAATTCAGCCTCTTTAAACGCAAACTGATTCCAATCCCCAATCTCTAATTGAGGGAGAGTGAATTTGCTGTGGCCTGCAGAAACAAATGGTCGTCTCTTCCTTTCTCATTGATGACACAGATGTTTAACCCTAGCCAGCTATGTGGCAGCAGTGATGGAGGGGGCAGTGAGTCACTGAAAATAGTCAGTTGTTGATCAGCTTCTCAGAAGCAATCCAGATTCTGGCCATGAGGCTACAATTGCAAGTCTTGTTCTGCTAGCAAGTCTTGTTTTTCAGACCTGAAATAGGAAATTAGGAGTAACGAGGAAAAAACCTATTTTTTGAAAAAAAGCAAAGTCTTTGTTTCCTATGCATGGAAACTATACAAACTTGTATAAGGCAAAATTACATCAGACAAACAACTATCCAGTTATAATTAACAGAATGTGGGGGACTCCTGAGTCACCAGTGTCCACCTGCTAATTAACACTGAAAACTCCTTGTTGCAGTTTTAAAAGCTTTTGGGGGTCACATGAGAAACTCCAGTTCAGAACAATGTGGCCATTCTTTATATGAATTCCTATGGGAATTTATCTGAAAACTATAGCAGATGAATCCTTCTGCCCCAGTAGTTAAATCATAGTATTTGGAGCCTGGCAGACTGATAAATCATACAAGCAGTAATTCAATTTGAAGCAACTTTTAGCATTTCTTAACCTTTCTGACTTGGCTGAAAATAATGATAATAATAATAATAATAATAATAATGGTAATACATATTTTATTATTTATACCCCACCCATCTGACTCAATTGTCCCAGCCATTCTGAGCAGCTTCCCACATAAAAAAGAAACACAACTATATGTCAAGCATTAAAAACTTGACAGGGCTGCCTTCAGATGTCTTCGGAAAGACTTACAGTATAACTTCCCTTGCAATCCAATGGATAATAAGCATGAATTACTTTAGCATGTTCTTTTGTGTTCCCCACATGAAGTCACAGGACAGAATCTGACATGAATGATTTAAAGCCTTTTTGTGAAGTCACAAGAACTGCACCCATTTCTGCCCAAGGCCAGGCTGACTCATGAGAGTCTGTTGCCACATCTCTTGTTTCTATAGTAATAATTGTATCGACTAAATAAAAGCAAAATGCAGTTGCTTATTAACATCGAATTTATGACTCCCTAAATGTGCAGGACTCTGGCATATCTCTGTTGCTTCCCACGATGGGAGCGTTTTAAAAGCTCCACACAGCTGGGAATGTGGCTCAT